TCCATAATCATCTGTCTTCTATCTACTTCAGGACAGGGTAACTGTTCAATAACAAACAATATACATACATCTGCATACAGTAAACATAATATCAATTTTGTATAAAGCGTAAACGGCCTAAACCCTAAAGATCTAATTGTACAATCCCTCCCAGCTACTTTCCTCCCGCCGGGAACTTGTGCAACTTATAAGTTAGTTATGGTAGTTATAGTGTAAGTTATCTTGATTGTTTTTTAAAGAACTTATAACTTCATTGTAAGTTCATGAAGTTCTAAGTAGTTTTTTTTGATTGTTTTTGATGATTTGTTTTTTTGTGTACTTTTAGCATGTATTCTTACCGAAGTGTGTTAGTTTCAGTCATTTTTATTAGTTTTATATCTTTCATGCAGCAACTTGTTTTTTCTGTTTCCACATTCGCGGATGCTCATTGCAAGAGCCACAACTTATTGTTGTCGTGGCGAAGGTACATGAATTGTGTGCACTCTGAATTAAAGTTCTTAGTGACCGGCAGCAGCGAGATTTCGTCCGCACTCATCCGCACTCATGGCACCTATTTGCGGTTTTCACTCGCACTCATCCGCACTCACACAACAGGGGCCAAACCTCCCAAAACCGGTCCGCACTCATGCCGCACTCACGTGTTTTCATCACTTTCATGCAAGTCGCACTCATCCGCACTCATGGCGGCATTATGACGTTTTCGCCGCACTCATCCGCACTCATCCGCACGATCCTTGCGCCTATGCATCCACGCATCTTCCACACTTGCGAGTGAGCGGATGCTTAGCAGAAATCTCTGTGCCGCTTGGATGTGCTTCTCCATGCCATCTCTACCCTATCATCATCCAAATCGGTGATTTTCATACATGAGCCAAAACAATATAAAACCATTGTTTTTTTGAAAAATAATTCTTTCCCAAAAAAATATGTAAAAAAGGAAAAAACTAAGTTCCATAACTTCCAAATAACTTCTAGACATGCCTTGTTTCTAAAAACCCTAACTAACTTATAAGTACATAACTTTTCACTAACTAATGATTTTTTTTGAGGAACTTATAAGTAAGTTATCAAGTTATATCATAACTTATCCCAAGATAACTATGGTTATAAGTTACACTATAAGTTCACAAGTTCCCCGCAGGAGGAAAGTACCTTTGAGAACGGTAAGCAGGATGATTTATATTGGAAATGGGGCAAACTTCCCATGTATGAACAGTTGACAGTTGAACTAGTCCAGTGGAATCAAACTTGATGGAACAAACAAAAACAACAGTTCGGTTGAATACCTATATAAAGCAAAGGATTTCCTAGCCATGGTCAGCTCCCGTTCGCATCCCGCTGAAATGGAGAAATGCCCGAGCCTGAATCAGATTGTTCGCCTTCTCCTGCCCAGGTGCAGGAAATCTCATGTTTTTTAATCAAATGATGCTGCATGACAATGTGTTTCATGAAGCTGAAGCTACTTTGTGTAGGATCGTGATGGGATTGTTCAAGCTAAGCTTTGAGCCATCACTTTCATATTGTGAAGTTGAGGATTGCTACATTTGGGCAAGGTTGTGCATTACCAAATCAAAGAAACACAACACCAATTTAGACTACAGTGTTTCCACGCGCGTCCGCTCAAAACTTCCCGACCCCTTTGGTTTCCCTCATGGGAAGTGCAAACCCATCATTTTGTCACTGGACCATGTCCAGCTACTCTGAAGAAATTCCACAATGGCGTGCATGTCGTGCACAAAACATTGCAATTTCCGCATTAAAAGGTGCTCTGGTGATCTGGAAGCCATGAAAACAGCAGTTTTTCTTCACATATCTGGGAGTTCAAAGTGACCATGCAATTCGAAATGGCATAAGGGCATTTGACACCTTCTAGGCTTTCAGTCTCATTTTTTTTGGCAAGGGTCATGGTCAAGGGGTTGCACCCCAAATGAAACAACCAGCAAAGAGGAAAATCAATCTGAAAACAAGGAAAGTCCACTTCCACTGTTTCAGCAGGCTTCAACTGTAGCATGTACAAGGCGGTGCCCCTAGCTAAGTGCACAGTTACAATTGCCATAAATCCCGGTTAATCTAGTCATAAACCAGTGATGTTGTGATCACCATAACTCACCGCATTTGTTCATTCTCAGGAGATGATTGGATCCCAAAGGTAAGTGGTAAACCCAGTGGCACCCGCAGTTGCATGCCTGACCAGCTGCTGGCTTGCTGGGTAGAGGACGCGTCCTAGGTCAACACGTGCCGCTTGGCAAATGGAGTCATCTTTATCGACGTACCCTGGGGTTTAAACACCCATGGTTTCCCCGGGAAAACCATCTACAAATGGTGGATTTTCTACATCTATAGTTAGTTTACAAGAGGGTAGCCATGGCAAAAAGCCCCACAAGTCGGAATATACCACCCTTACAGGGATTAAATCGGATTCAATGACAAACCATTATGCGGATACAATGGGATATGTAACCGCCAATATGAGTTTGGGTAATAACCCAATCCCCGTGATATCAAATAACCACAGGCTTAAGGGGTCCGAAAATGAATAGATCCAATACTCATCCAGCATTTCTAGGAGGGGATCTGACATGCAAATACATGGAGATCATGACAACCAAACCAGGAGTACACCTATATAATAGGGACAATGATTAACAATGGTGATAAAAACCCAAAGAAAGCGTAACGAGACAGCCTCCACGGGGAAGGGGCTCCACCAGAACCCGAGACAAACTGACTGCCCAACACAATTAGTCTCCACTGTTTGTTGCTTCAATAGTTTAGTTCAACGTCAATTCTCATTTTTGTCAGCCCCATCTTTGCTGCGAAATTCATCTGGGCTGCAATCATTTCCAAACCGTTCTCGAACGGTTTCTCCAAGATCAAACATCATTTTTCAGGTGGGACAATGTGAAACCTCTTGAGAGTGCTATAGTCGCTGCCTGGATGATGATTTTGGGTGAGCTGGTCAGCAGCGTCCCATCTTCTTAAAGGGTAGATACATGGATGTCGGATCTCCGAGCATCAAAGAGCATGAACTTGGAGATAACAATTAAGTAATTAACTAAAAATATCTAAAAATGATCATCATCCATAATCTATTGTTTGTTTCCTCATTTAACGACTTGGTATTTAAGATAGCTAGGGCAGCTAGGTAACATGGCCCATTAATTACAGATCATTTACTATAAAACGAAATGGTGTCTTCCATAGCAATGTTAAATCACCAGAAGGACCTTGAGGAAAATGAACAAATCACACCAATCTCCAGGACGATGATATGTTCAAGCTGGCAGCCCATCGGGTAGCCTGACTAAGCGCAGTTTTTTGATGGGACAATCTGCAGGAAACCAAGGTTTTACCTTGGAAAATTCCCAGGGCTTTTGTAGATGTTCCCTTCATCCAATTCGCAAAGTCTTGCACTTTGTTATGCCTTGCGATTGATGGGATAAAGTTTAGTTTTGTGCTCTCTTGGGTGATTTGACTGACTTCAACATACTTCAACTATATAAGTCCCCTAGAATCCCTAAAAGGGAGGTTTCCAACAATGGGGATACCTCAAAATGGATGGTTTTGATACTGGCAAATTCGCAAATGGATGATGACTGGCGGTTCCCCCCGGATTGGAAACCTCCAAATAGTCCTGGCTCCGCCTATTCCCAGGATGCCAAGGGTCTTCACCACAACCTCTGCTTTCGTGCCATCGGCTTTGGTGACTTGAAGTTTCGTTTCCTCGCCCTGGCCAGGGTAAAGTCAGGGTTCGACATTCCTTCAGATGTGTATTTTAAGTACATACGCGCACACACACATATATATATATTATTAGACAATGTATATTTACACGGACAATATATATATATATACATTGAACAAAATACATATATATTTATATATATACATATATATCGCATTATCAATCTGTAATCATGGATGAAAACAGCAACCCAAATGGAACTACAAGAGGTAACTTTGGCACCTGATTGTGTTTGAGCGGCATACCAGCCCCAAATAAAGTCTAGCAACAAAACAAAAAATACACACTGTGGGAATTTGTGATGTGTGTAGGAACGTTAGAGAGTTGAGCTTGTCGACGCCTGGAACACACACATATATATAATATAATATAATATAATATAATATAATATAATATAATATAATAAATAATATATAATATATAATATAAAATATATAATATATAATATATAATATATAATATAATAGAATAGAATAGAATAGAATAGAATAGAATAGAATATAATATATAATATAATATGATATAATATAATGTAATATAATATAAAATAATATAACACAATATAATATAATATATATATATAATATAATTTTCAAAATATATAATATATAATATAATAATATATATATCATCAATGAATGAATTGTGCATGATCTTTGCTTGTGGCAACATGTCTTGTAGATACTTAGACCCTCCAAGTCCCGTGAAAATCAGTAGAATTCTCAAAATAATCGGCCCAGGTATATATGTGGTAATATGATGTAAGCGAACCTCCGCTACGTTTACCGACTTTGGGTCCCACAATCAACTGGCTGGAGAGATTCTTCCCATGGATCCCCCCCATCAACATAGCAACCACATCACCCTGCGCTCAAGGACCTGCTGTGATCACTTTTTCATCCAAAGATGTCTCCCTGTCGCCATCAATGCAGTTACACCGAGGTCCAAGGTCCGAGGACAAGGTGAGTCTTAACCAGTAAAAATATTAGCACCATGTCGATCAAACATTTGGCTGGCTCGACTCTGGCCAGCGAGTCCTTCATCAAACTAGCCAGCCCCTTGCCGACTCCAGCAAAGGCATGGGACTGCCCTCCTTGTGCACTTACTTCGACCCGACCTGAGCTCCTCCCCTCCTTCGGTTCCAGTTCCAAGGACATCCAAGGACCCCGCACATGACATCAGGGCCCCTCTGCTGGCACCCGCTGGCACCCGCTGGCACCTCCAAGTTGCATCAAGATATTCATGTCAGTCACCATCACCAAACCACTGGCCAACAATGTCGCAACTCAGAGATATTCACTCCAGAAGGAACTCGTGGCACGGACCACGGGACCGAGTTCCTGAGAGTGCAAACTCTGTGGACATGTGTGGACAACTGCTCGGTTCCCCATGGTCGTGTATTTTGCTGATATGTTTTTCTTAGTTGATCTATCGCATCTGGGTACACATGTACAATCATGTATAGTATAATATAAGAAAACGTATATAAATGTACAATATACGCTGAGATACTGTGTATATACAATAAAATACAGGTTCAGAATATGTCACAACTTCACTAGGTCGATGAAAGCATTGTTGCCAAAAAAGATGTTCGCTGATGATGACGATGATGATGATGATGATGGTGATGATCATGATGATATGATATGATATGATATGGTATGGTATGATATGATATGATATGATATGATATGATGATTCTCTTGAGGTGTGGAGCAACGTCCGGATTGGAGGGAAGATGTTCTAAGACTGAACACAACCAAAAGACATAACCAATATCTATAGGTCTCAAGGTCTGAAACAAGTCCTTCACTTGTGACTACTGGATTGATTCTACTTTAGTTGTGATATGTTGTGATACATCTCCAGACATTACCAATCATTGCGCATTTTAGACTCACCAATGATTAATGTAGGATCATGTGGGGCTCCAGCTGTAGCATCCCAACCCAAGCGTCCAAACTTGGTCGCCTTTTTTTGCTTTTTGTTTAACGCATCACTTGCCCAAAACGTTTGCACTTCTTTGTTTCTCAAATCCCAATATGTCCCAATTTAGGGGAATTTTATGGAATTATTTACAAGAAATGGGATACCCCCCATGCGTTCTGATTCTCGATGCCAAACAATCTAAGTTTGGATGGTGGCTGGGGGATGCTGGGGGCCTCCCGATTGGAATTTGCTGTGGCTGAACCCCAAGTGCTCATGTCCAAATCTGAATTGCTTAAGGTTCAAGTCCTAATCGTTCATGTTCAAATGTCAAATCATGTTCAATCCTAAAATCCCCTATGTTCACTTGTTCACTTCCCATTAGTTTCACATTAGTTTCCCCATCAGTCCACCCGTTCCGCCAAGTCACATGGCGCACTTCCGGCAGAGCGTCGCCACGTCGCCCACCGCGACCTCCGCGACCTCCGCCTCGACCACCGTGGTGCTGGCGCCGGAGCTCAGGACCTTCGCGACGGAATCGCCGAGGAAGACCTCGTCACCTTGGAAGCACCGGAGAGGGAAACATAATGACCTCACGACGTGACGTTACTGGAATGATGGTGAGGATTGGGGAATCACCTATTTGGGGCCTTGTTTCACCTATTTCCACGATAGTGAGCTGTTATAGTTTGGCCAAAAAAAAATAATATATATATATTTATTTATTTATTTACATCCGGTTATTTAACAGTTTGCCATGGAAAATCCACCCATTTTTAAGAACGGTAAACCATCTATTTCGATGGGCCATTTTCCATGGCTATGTTAAATAACCAGAGGGTAGGCAAAATATGGGAAACATATGGGCAAATAGAGGACAACACCTTGGGATACCTTGGGAACATGTTTGGCAAAAGACTGGGACTGGGAAACTATTGATTCTACAAAGTGTCCAGTTGACCGATATGGTTGAAAACCGTTTGTTGATATGGGACATTTTGAGGTACCCCAAAATTGGAGAGTGTAAAAAACCTGCCAAAATTTCAACCCAATGGGGTTGCGTGGTAATCTCTTAGGGGGATGCACAACCAAGCATGCACTTACCCGTTGACTACTCATGCCATTTATCCCTGGGTAAACTACAGGAAGCCCACAAACACTTACCAGCTGTGATTTCTGGGGTGGTTATTCAAATTCAAGTGAATGGGTTACATCTCTTTACTGATTATCCGGGGGTATAGCTTGACCCTGGATCTATTCCAATGAACCATTTGGGGATTCCAAAACCAATCCCTTCCACCTAAAATTGAACACCCCCTCAAGACACCGTGGTTAAGTGGGGGGATTTACACATATTGGGATGGGATTACGCACAAATATATTCACACTCAATCTGGCTGAATTATAGAAATTCACTAATTAACCTCAGCCTGAGACCTGAAATAAGATGAAATAAGGAGGCTATAAAATTCAAACCAATTCCCAACTGGGGTGGTCCTCCAGCGCCATTTCCGTCCCAAGGTGCCCCGAAACTCTGCGAAGCCCACAGGCAGCACCGCTACCCAAGTGCCGCTGTTCGGCACCGCCGGCCGCACGTCGCAGTGGGCGTCCGCGGCGCAATAGCCGAAGCGGCCAGAAGACAGGAAGCGCAAGGCTGAGATCGTCGTTTTCCTAAACATTTGGGGGTGGTTTAAGGGATTTGTTGAAAGGAAACACTTATATTGGAGAGGGAAAAAAACATGGTTTGGGTGAGACGTTACCTTCAACCAAGCCAATGACTCAATGACTGAAGAGGTTCGCAGGGATCTTGTATGGATTCCTTTGAATACTCCATGGGGGATTGCTATTTGCCTGGGATTTCCGGCTGTTTTTTTTCCGGGAACAAGGGACCAGGTCCCCGACCCACTGTTCCCAAAATGGACGATGGTTCATGGGGGTTCCCACATTCTGGATTATGATAAAACCCCAACATGTTGGGAAGTACAACCACCTATAAGCTATATAATAATCGTCAATACACAAACAATACATAAACATACTAATATCGTCGGTCTCATATCCCGTTATACGTCTCGATTCTATACCTAATACAAACATCACAATATGATCTCATAAACATGTGATGAACATTATTATCAACATTACCAACCATTATTCACCAATTGAACATATTTACTTAAAACAAATTAGATAGATCGTTAGATAGATAGATAGACAGATACAAATATATATATATAGAGAGAGATAAATATATAGATACACAGATAGATAAACACACAAAAACAAACATACAAATAGACAGATTTCAATAGGTTTAAGTTGATTCCCGTGTGATCTTGCTTAAACCATGTTTTGCAGCCACATCACTTACAAATCATCAACCTTGATCAACCTTGATCAACCTTTGTCGCATCGTCAGGTCTCCAGGTGATGTCCAGCTCATCAGATCTCCGGAAAAGACTTTCGCCCATCCGCAGCAACCAATGCGTGGGGAAGTGACGCAGGGCCTGGCTCGGGCAGGTGATGGATCCTGATGGACCGACAATGTTTTTCACACGGAAAACCAAGTTTCTGGGTCTGGAGCATGATTTACCCATTTGATATATATATATATATATGTATATGTATGTATATGATGAACATTGATGAACCATGAATGCTTGAAGGTTATAGAGTTATAGCTGATATGTTTCCCCTAGGCATGTATGATTCTAAACAAAGTTACATTCACTGAAAGACACAGGTGTAATGAATGCACTAGCAAATTGGTTATGCTTCATGGGGATCTCTGGGCCAATCCTACAGCTTTGTCATGTTTTCCATATATGCATAACAATATATTCATTAGAATTCTACATGTTTCGTCACGCCACGCCTCTCCTGATTTTTGCGATGACACATCCCCAGCCCCCAGCCAACCCCCCAGCCACCCTGGGTGGTCCCGAGGCACCTTGGCAACTTCATTGGGCCTCACCGCCAAACCGCCCCCCACGTGCACCGAAAGTTTCGGCGGATGCCCGGCAGCACGCAGCAAAGCGCGGAGCAAAGCTTCGCGGCCCTGGAGGTAGAAGAGGCTGCGCGCCTAATCGAGCAATGGTTTATGATACTTTATGGGTAGAAGTATCATAGTCACAAGCAATAAGTATCATCATGTATCATACATAATCAAACTATTAATAATGAATGGGTATAATAATGAATGTCGTGCCAAATTAAACTACATGATTCACGATACTATGATATTATGTTTTTTCACATGGCTATGAAAGCCATGGCCCAGTCATAGAAGATTTATGCTGATTCTTACCTATTACATTGCATGGATGATATATATATATATAAATATACATATATATATATATATGAGTGGGTGACATTGCCATTAATACAAGAGATATTACCGAGGAATTAAATGGAATGAATATGAACCAATGAAATTTCACTAACAAACACAATTATTCATCATTTTCGTACATAGTGTCACCCGAAAGGATTGGACACCAAATCATCACAATTCCAATGGGAAATTATGCATATTTATATATATATATATATACGTATATTATGTCTCTCAGTTTTCTAGGATTACTATGTAACATTATGTTTCATATAGCAGCATAGAAGAGCAAAAAACATATCATCAATCATGAAATACTTCTATCAAATGGTTGGGAAACACAAAGTAGCCTGGCTCCCCATTTGATACCCTCTGGAAATTTAACAGTTCGCTATTGAAAATGGCACATAGCAATAGTTGATTTATCAAAGATGGTGATGTTCCAGTTTGGTATGTTTACCCAAGGGTAATCCATCAAATTTGACATCAAACCTGAAGATTCCAGGCAATTTCTGGTTGGTGGTTTCAATCCCTCTGAAAAATATGAGTTCGTCAGTTGGGAGTATGATTCCATATATTATGGAAAAATAGTCCAGTCATGTTCCAAACCAACAACCAGATGATATTCCCATTATAACCAGTGATACTCTTCGTACTTTTCCCATGAGTTTCTACCCATCCCTTGGTTTTCCCCAGTCAATTTTCCCCAAGACTTGCCAGTCCCAGGCACAGTGGCAGCCGCGTCCTGACTGCAACAGAGCTTGGTGTAGAGTCCTGCAGCGCTGGGACTCGGTCGTTGAAAAGTCAAAACGAAGCCCAAAAACGTATGTGGAGTTGAGTGTGTGGAATTGTGTGTGTGCGTACATATTATATATAATATAATATGATATGATTTAATAAAATATATTATGATATGATATAATAAAATATAATATGATATGATATGAAATAATATAATATAATATGATATGATATAATATAATATAATATGATATGATATAATAAAATATAATATGAAATGATATGATATAATAAAATATAATATGAAATGATATGATATAATAAAATATAATATGATATAATATAATATAATACAATATGATATAATATATTATCATATAATATGATATAATATAATATAATATTATATAATATAATTTAATACAATATGATATAATATAATATAATAAAATATAATATGATATAATATAATATTATATTATATGATATAATATAATATGGTACGAAAAATAATTATAATATAATAGATATGATAAAGAAAAAAAAAAATGCATAAATATAATCTATAATATGATACAAGATCTATACTATAATATGCATATAAAGAAGATTATATTATATAATATAGTATTAGATAATATGATATGTAATACTATAAATCATAAATTGATATGGAATTAATATGATATTAAATATAATATAATAGATATGATATAATATGATATTAATTTACATATGATATGAATAATGATGTTGTAATATTAATATAGATTATATAATATGATATAATAAAATATAATATGATATAATATATTATAATATATTATAATATGATATAATATAATATAATAAAATATGATATAATATAATATAATAAAATATAATATGATATAATAAAATATAATATGATATAATATAATATAATATGATATAATATATTATAATATAATATGATATAATATATTTTAATATTATATAATATGATATGATATAATATAATATTATACTATATAATTTATTTTTAAAAAAATATAATATAATATTATATAATATAGAAAAATAATAAAATATAATATTATATAATATAATATGATATAAGACTATTTTATATAATATACTGTCATAAAATAATATAATATAATAATATAATATAATATATTTTAATATAATATAATATATATTTTAATATAATATTAAAAATAAAAAATACAAGAAAATATAATTTTATATAATATAATATGATATAATATAATGTAACATTATATTATTTAAAAAACATAATAATATAATATAATAATATAATATATGATAATATAATATAAAAATATAATATAATATAATTTAATATAATATAATATAGAACAAATACAATAGAATATATTACAATGTATTTTATTATATAATATAACATAATATAATAATATAATAAAATATAATATATGGGGAGCTCCTATCATACCCCCTACCGTCCATACCCCCTTGGAATATTTTTAAAATATTCCGCTATAGTTGAACGTTGTTTTGGAAAAGTATTCTGATACGTTGCCCACGTATGGAATAATTTCCAGCAATTTTGCTTCCAAAAATATTCTGGCAACATGTCAACCTTTTGCTGGAAAATATTCCAGGTATATGCTGAGGGTATCTAAGCTGAACATAGCTGAACATGATGGTGTTTGGCACCATTCGTTCTGCACATGTTTGTGTCGCGCTGGGACAGATACATCATTTTTTCCCCAAGGGATTAAGCTTCAAAGGCGCCATCCCACACTGCATCCTACCCTACATATCCCTAAACTACATTAAACAACTTTGGAAATCTTTCTTGGGGAAATCCCTGTTCTCTCCTGATTTTTTTCCCAACCATTCATTTTTCACCCTATTTCGTCCATGTTCTTTTCATGACTTCCAAAGAACTCCCGATAGCATCCGATGGCCTTGCGTGGTAAGGGCTAAAAAGGGTAAGAAGCGCTTGGTTGTCACATGTTTTGTCGTGTTTTTTTTGAGGGGTTCCGGACATCTCCGCTACCCTTAGAATGCTTTCTCCTCTCAGGAAATCCCATAGAGTGGCATTCAACTTGGCTCTCTCTTGGAAGTGTTCCCAACCTTTCATGTTTCCCTCTATTTCTTCCATCTTCTTTTCAGCAAGAAGCATTTGGTTGTGATTGTTTTTTTCATGTTTTGTCCTGTTTCTGGGCTGGTTGGGTGGTTGTGGCGGCTACTTTTTTATTCGAAGGGTTCCGGATATCTCACATACCACCAGAATAATTTCTTCCCCAGTGGAAACCTCACAGGATGGCATTCAACATGGCTTTCAACATGGCTCTTTCCGGGAAGTGGCCCGAGCATGTCCCAACCTTTCATGTTTCCCTCTATTTCTTCCATCTTCTTTTCAGCAAGAAGCATTGGGTTGAGATTGTCTTTTTCATGTTTTGTCCTGTTTCTGTGCTGGTTGGGTGGTTGTGGCAGCTACTTTTTTATTCGAAGGGTTCCGGACATCTCACATACCCCTAGAATAATTTCTTCCCTGGTGGAAATCCCACAAGAAAAGCATTCAACATGGCTCTTTCCTGGAAGTGCCCCCAAAATGTCCCAACCTTTCATGTTTCCCTCTATTTCTTCCATCTTCTTTTCAGCAAGAAGCATTTATTTGTGATTGTTTTTTTCATGTTTTGTCCTGTTTCTGTGCTGATTGGGTGGTTGTGGCAGCTACTTTTTTATTCGAAGGGTTCCGGACATCTCACATACCCCTAGAATAATTTCTTCCCTGGTGGAAATCCCACAGAATGGCATTCAACATGGCTCTTTCCTGGAAGTGCCCCCCAAAATGTCCCAACCTTTCATGTTTCCCTCTATTTCTTCCATCTTCTTTTCAGCAAGAAGCATTTGGTTGTGATTGCTTTTTTTCATGTTTTGTCCTGTTTCTGTGCTGGTTGGGTGGTTGTGGCAGCTACTTTTTTATTCGAGGGGTTCCGGACATCTCACATACCCCTAGAATAATTTCTTCCCTGGTGGAAATCCCACAGAATGGCATTCAACATGGCTCTTTCCTGGAAGTGCCCCCCAAAATGTCCCAACCTTTCATGTTTCCCTCTATTTCTTCCGTCTTCTTTTCAGCAAGAAGCATTTGGTTGTGATTGTTTTTTTCATTTTTTGTCCTGTTTCTGTGCTGGTTGGGTGGTTGTGGCAGCTACTTGTTTATTCGAAGGGTTCCGGACATCTCACATACCCCTAGAATAATTTCTTCCCTGGTGGAAATCCCATAGAAATGGCATTCAACATGGCTCTTTCCTGGAAGTGCCCCCAAAATGTGCCAACCTTTCATGTTTCCCTCTATTTCTTCCATCTTCTTTTCAGCAAGAAGCATTTGGTTGTGATTGCTTTTTTCATGTTTTGTCCTGTTTCTGTGCTGGTTGGGTGGTTGTGGCAGCTACTTGTTTATTCGAAGGGTTCCGGACATCTCACATACCCCTACAATAATTTCTTCCCTGGTGGAAACCCCACAGAATGGCATTCAACATGGCTCTTTCCTGGAAGTGCCCCCCAAAATGTCCCAACCTTTCATGTTTCCCTCTATTTCTTCCATCTTCTTTTCAGCAAGAAGCATGTGGTTGTGATTGTTTTTTTCATGTTTTGTCCTGTTTCTGTGCTGGTTGGGTGGTTGTGGCAGCTACTTGTTTATTCGAAGGGTTCCGGACATCTCACATACCCCTAGAATAATTTCTTCCCTGGTGGAAATCCCACAGAATGGCATTCAACATGGCTCTTTCCTGGAAGTGCCCCCAAAATGTCCCAACCTTTCATGTTTCCCTCTATTTCTTCCATCTTCTTTTCAGCAAGAAGCATTTGGTTGTGATTGTTTTTTTCATGTTTTGTCCTGTTTCTGTGCTGGTTGGGTGGTTGTGGCAGCTACTTTTTTATTCGAAGGGTTCCGGACATCTCACATACCCCTAGAATAATTTCTTCCCTGGTGGAAATCCCACAGAATGGCATTCAACATGGCTCTTTCCTGGAAGTGCCCCCAAAATGTGCCAACCTTTCATGTTTCCCTCTATTTCTTCCATCTTCTTTTCAGCAAGAAGCATTTGGTTGTGATTGTTTTTTTCATGTTTTGTCCTGTTTCTGTGCTGGTTGGGTGGTTGTGGCAGCTACTTGTTTATTCGAAGGGTTCCGGACATCTCACATACCCCTAGAATAATTTCTTCCCTGGTGGAAATCCCACAGAATGGCATTCAACATGGCTCTTTCCTGGAAGTGCCCCAAAAATGTCCCAACCTTTCATGTTTCCCTCTATTTCTTCCATCTTCTCTTCAGCAAGAAGCATTTGATTGTGATTGCTTTTTTCATGTTTTGTCCTGTTTCTGTGCTGGTTGGGTGGTTGTGGCAGCTACTTTTTTATTCGAGGGGTTCCGGACATCTCACATACCCCTAGAATTTTTTCTTACGTAGAGATATCCCACACATTGTCTCCTCATGTCTCCTCTGGAACTGGCTCCTCATGTCTCCTCTGGAACTGGCTCCTCATGTCTCCTCTGGCTGCTTTAAGTCCGATGATTTGGCGAGAACATTGGGGCCTCTATTGCTGCGAAAAGCTGACAGATTGCAGAGAGGCCACCGAAGGACTGGCGGAGATGTGGATCCTACGTGTGCGAGCGGATTGGCTGAGCTAGGATTTCTTCCATTTTCACTTCCATTTTCTTTTCATGTGCTTGCAAAGAACCTGCGTGGGAGGGGGTAAGAAAGGGCAAGAAGCATTTGGTTGTCATATGTTTTGGCATGTTTTGTCCAGTTTCTGGGCTTGTGGCAGCTACCTGCCCTGGCATCCTCGCCAACTTTGAATTTTGAGAGACTCTGGCTGCGGGCGGAAAAAATTGGGTGGCGCAGTCTTTCTGCTGGCATGGAAGGGTTTCAGCTAGCATCACGGTGGGGTTGTACAAACCAAATTTCAAGCCCTCAGTTAGCAAAACCACGCTGTCATATCAGGCTGCCTTGACCTTGAAGGATTCCGGTGCAAGTATTGCAGCTTTCTGCATACTACATGATATTTCATGCCCAAATATGTCAGACAATCAGAAAAAATATATTCAAAAATATTCCAGGTATATGGGGAGCTCAAGGCCAAAAATATTCCAGGTATAGTCCGAGGGGGGGGTATCAGATACCCCTTGCCAAAAATATTCCAAAACATTCCAAAAAAAATATTCCAAAAAAAATATTCCAGCACCTCAGGGGTATACCTGGAATATTTAAGATAGGAGCTGATCATTATAATATAATATAATAATATAATATAATAAAACATAAAATCATATAACATAATACACTATAATATAATATAATATAATATAATAATATAATATGATAATATAATATAATATAATAATACAATATTTTATTTTAATAATATTAAAAAAAAACTATAATATAATAATATATAATATGATATATATATATATATATAAACATAATATAACATAATATAACATAACATAATATAACTGAATATAGAATAACATAATACAATATAATATAACAGAATATAATATAATATAACATAACATAATATAATATAATAAAATATAAAAAATAATGCTATAATATAATATAATATAATAATTAATATATATATATATATGCATGCTAGAACAATATGGTACATATATATATATAAATACATAACATATTTATTTCTTATATTTGGATAGAATTAAGGGCATTGAAGCCATGGTATCCATAGTTGTAGTGATATGATTCCACCGTCCTTCAAGTCTCATCATTGGAGCCTTCAGAATGATGTGAGCCGCTGCCACGACGCCCTTCAAGCCAGTCCTTGCGATCGACCAGCAGCATAGAATTGGATCAGTGTAGTACAAGTAAGTGATGGGGAAGAAAGATCTCATGCTCTAAGATGATGTAAACACTTTTTGTTCAAACAATCCTAGCGGATCAAATCAAGCAGTGACACCAACAGCCATTTTGGTTGAGGTACGAAATATATGTCAAACAAAGAACGCGCAAGCACTTTTAAGGCCAAAAATCAGCGTCATAACATATATTCATACTAGTGCTGCGCTGCTACCTCATCGAAGCAAGTAAACATATTTCACATTCAAATGATATGTATATATTATATATTTTATATCATATCATATCCAAATATGCAATGGTAGCTCCACCAGCCCAGTGCCTTCCAACGCCCGTCTCCACTTCCAAATGCAGCTTCAACGCGCCGCAGCGACGGCGGGCCACGACCTTGCGGGCTGCGACGAGCCATCGCAAGGATTGCACTGCGATGGACACACCGCTGCGAGCAATGGTGCCTGGACAGTCTCCGGGGGCCCCTTTGATGTGAGAAGGTTGGGAGATCATATTCATCTTATCACGGGTGTGAAAAAACAATAATGAATATATATATATATATATATTTATATTATATAAAATATATGTGTGTTTAATATATATATATACATATTATATTCAAAAACATAATGAAAACTCTCACGTACCTTGAAGGTGATGGAGTCCCGGTCTTTAGATATTTCTATAGTTGCTTTCTTACCTGCTACATGGTCGAAAAAAGGATCTTACAATATCTTAGCTATATTCATACCTTCGGGCATTCTAGCTTGGCAATAGAGAGGTATTATGTTCATTGATTTCCAATATCTGGGTAAAGTCTCAGAGTGGGGCAGTGGTTCATTGCCATGCAAAATTTTACTGTAGCCTGCGGAAAGTGGAGGTACGCTACTAAAATACTTAAGGCCTATGCAGAAGAACATACCCAAAAAGTAGTATAAGTACTTGATATACCTTTATATCCCATAGTACAGTACCACCATGTCAGTAAGCAACAATGGTTTCACCGTTTCGTTTCAGCCAAAAGAGTGGGAATGCAACCCCAAACGGATTGATCGTTCAGCCCAAGGACATAGGCTTTCCAAAGGTGGCTGGGTCAAGAGAACCAACTCCTTGGAGGTCTGCTGGGACAGCTGGGACAACTGCATGGCGCGCTGGTGATTCAGAAGGAAGAGGCTCTTGACCTTGGGATGTCGCATCAAAGTCTCCTTAGGTGGCCAGGACAATTTGCAGAAACAGCTTCAGGTACCCCGTGTTTGTTTTTTGAGAAAAAGGAGGGAATTTACAAAAACTGACCTTTGAGTGGGCTCGACCTTGGGTTCATCTTTCAGTGTGCGTCTAACTGACGCCGATTCTATAAACACCCAGGGCATCCCAGGCTATCTAAATCCGTTGGCATGCGGGGCCTCGGGTGAACCCTTGCAACGCATCGCCCAAGCCAGTGGCTTGCCGGAAGCTATGGCTTTGTTGATGTCAAAGACCATTTTGGGATATCCCATGGATATCCTATTCCTATGATATCCATTGATATCCCCCATTTCGACCTATACCCAAAGATCATCAAAGATCCACCCCAGTCATCTGTCGTTCCCAGTGACTGCAGCCAGCAATTCATCATGGTCATAGGCGTTGGCCGAAAGTACCACTCCAAGCTGCTTCCTTCCAAGCACCTGACGCTGACCATGGCAAAATTGGGGATGGTTTGGGGTTTAGGGCTGAGGGTTTAGGGTTGGGGATACTTTTTGGATATTCGATGCTAGCCAAATGGTGGGGTATACTCAGCCACTTGTTGATGTAATGCTTGAATTCAAGTTGTCGTTCTGGGAGATTATGATTCCAATCTGCATGGGTAGTACTATACATCTATTTGTTTTTTGCTGGGGCTTCTCAGAGGTTCGCCAACATCTATCGATGTGTAAATAAAAACACATGAGTAGATTGACAAATAAACCGGTAGAAACGCTTATGTACATATGCGTTAGGGGGAATCGTGTATGCATCATCCCATCTGTCCATCTATAATGAACATGGTCGAACAAAAATTGTCAATGGAGGTTTCTAGCTGGGAAAATAGTCGAACTAAAGGGCGGTTTTCATGGGAAAAATATGGAACACATCTCCCCCTTGCAGTTTGCCCGCCTGGGCCAAGTGCTGAAGGCTGCTGGACAGACCTTCGAAGGTCACTTCAGCCCAGCTGTTGGGTCTCTCATCCATCCTGCACGCAGCAGGCACAGCTTCCCTCAAAGAAAGTTGACCCAAACACCTTTTTCTGATCTTGAAAGGATGTCTTTCTCGCAGTTGCACCGGGTTTTGGTTTTCTTGCTTATCATCATAGGTTATATATGTCATCATTGAACTTTGATGAACATCGGATCTTTAGAGATCTTCATGGCAGTACAGTGCAGCAGCATCCTCGGCTAATCTACCCTCCCTCCATATGGGTCAAACTCTTGGTTGGAGGGATGGTGATTCTTCCGGTTAGAAGTTTGTTTCTAAACCCCATTAACTCTGGTTACAAATATATATATATATAATTATTTATATATATTAAGATTATAAACCGTAGCTATTGGAGTTATGTTCCATTAGCGATTCAATAAATATTTTTTGGGCACCTCCACTTTGTACAACTCACACCCAGACCCTGCAAGTGCTGCCAAAACACTTGGCACAACTCTCCTCAAGCACTGAGCCCCCAGCGACTGTGTGCGGAGCGTACTTCCTGGGAAGTGCCAAGACCTCTCAGGGCGGGGGAAGGCCATCGATGGCTGGTGTGAACTCAATAGACCACACCTAACTACCTAACTTCTGTGAATTCTTGGAAGTATTTTGATGAACCTCAAATCTGTGTTTCTGGGTGGAGATGGGATAGAACCGGCATTTCCCATGATTAAAAACTGGCTGGTGGTTTTTCAATCCCCCTGAAAAATGATGGAGTTCGTCAGATTGGATCATCATCCCAACTATTGGGGAAGTCATAAAATTCCATAGTTCCATTATTGATTATTATATATATCCCATTATATCCCATTAACAACACATTTTCATATCCCATAAAAAAGCCATGTTCCAGTCACCACCAACCAGTATTTATAATCCCCATTAACTATAGATATAACCCCCATAAACCCTAGTTATTGATAGTTATTGGACTTATAAACCAACTTAGCTAACCAGATCATATTCCCATGATTAAAAACAAATTCCTCTGGGAATTCTGCTCCAAGGAGGCCATGGCCATGGCCATGGATCCATGGCGCGCCTGGAGCTCGGCGGGAGCCTCGGGAGTAGCGATGGCCAGTTGCAACTCTCCCACCGATCCTGGGGGCGGAACAGAAATGTTGCGCCAAAATGGGATTGATATTATGGGATATATATATATATATATATGGTAATGTAGAAATGGGATATAATACTCCCATGATATTGATATATAGTAATCATATATATATATATTTCCCATATAATCAAGAAATGGATCTTGAAGTTACAAAAAGGGAAGTTTCTAGAATTTCCAACCAGCATTTTTTTCAAAATGGACTTGTCTATGAATGGTGGATACGTCAATTCATTGCCAATATTTATATATAGTAATAGGGAAAACGTGAAACACATGGGAAAACATGGGAAAACTAATATGACCACAGTATGGGTGCTCAATTATTGGACAAATACATTCTGAGCAAGAACATTTTGGTGATGTAACCAAGCGGAAATGGGATGTCATGGTCTTTCACGGGCAAAATTGAAGTATTCCAGGTCTTCCAAAGTTGCGGCAAACTAGGTGGTTTTACCTCGGAAGAGCCACTTGTCAAAAGCAAAATGCTGTGAATCTGCTCGGTGGAGTCGTTCTCATGTGCTTCAAGCCTCTTTTGGACGTCATACCTGGGGGTTCTGTAGTCATGACAACCCTTTGAGTAGTTTTTAATGTAATATAATAATATAATATAAATAAATGTAATTCCCGAAGGTACTGGAGGATTTCCGTGATTTCTTGCGCCAAGCACGAAACGGAGGAATTCCATGGAATTCCATAATTCTTTTTTGCCAACTCCACAACCTCGTATACAACAGGTGCTAGAGAGAGTAACAACCGCACCTTCCAGCACCCCTAAGGCTGGAAGGCAAGGCGCGAGAGTTGCCAGCGCGAGGATGAAAGTCACAAGATCCAGTGTTTGATCTTCATAGGTTCGCGGATTGGAATCATACCTAGCTGTGCATGTCTTTTGCACTTCCCCTTAGTCTCCCTCCAGGCTTCTCTTTATTCGCCAAGAATCGAATTTGATCATCCCTTCCTCTGAGCTCCAGTCGAAAGCCATGCCAAACCAGAAATTCATAGACCGCCATGGGGTCGTCAGCGTCAGTATGGTGATACGGATTCGACAACGTGAGGGAGATGCTAAAGATCATGCCTCGGTTTAACACGAAAAAACAAATGGATCCTCTGGTGGTGTCAAAAGTTGGTACTGTTGGATGCTTAGTGACCAGCAAAAAAACATATGTTCACTGGCCATTTCAGGTTCATGAATCAAAGGGACCTACCATATACGAGGCCTATAAAAAGGGGTACCCAATATGGTACACTACCTCCATTTTAGGGTCCTGAAATGTCCATTGAAATGTGTTTCGTTGCCTCTAAATGTGTGACGCGTGCAGGTCAATCTGTCTTCAATGTTGGAACGTCTTGCGACCATCCATAGCTGGGACCAACTAGGACCTACGGACCTGAAATTTAATGAAATCCCAATGCTCTTGATATGTTGTATTCATTAATACGCACCAAATATTACATATACAAAATAAAATATCCTCAAACATCCAACATCCATATACCATGTGCACAATAGCTTGGGAGCCTTCCCTTTCTGAAACGTGACATTCGCGCAACACGACACCAAGATACCCAAACTCAAATGCCCAGCCAGGGCCTTGAGGTTCAACAGCCCAGTGCGGGAGCCTGGGACATCCAAAGATCTGGTTGGTGGTTGACCTACCCCTCTGAAAAATATGAGTCAGTTGGGACGATGAAATTCCCAATATATGGAAAAATAAAACATGTTCCAAACCACCAACGAGCTGTTAATATCTGTTGATTATTTACATTTATTTACAGCATCTGGGCATGTGAACATCGATTTCCCTGTATATTTTTCCCACGTTATGAACATCATCGGACCTGGCATGGGTCCCTGTAATTATTTCAAGGGGATAGGATAAGGGCAATTGTTTGACACCCAAATATATGAAAGCCGGGGTGGGGCCTTCCAAAAGGAATCCCCCTGTTTGTGATTTCGAAGCAAACCCAAAAATGGTTGAACTTGCGAGTCGTTTCGAGGGTCCATCTAAAATCAGCATGACAATCTCCACGTCTTCAGGAACTCTCAAGGATGAATTGGAAACCTCAGTGTTCCAGGATGTTCCAGGGAAGAGTCGCCATTTCATCCAAGCGAGACATGGCTGGACATGGCTTGACCATCGAGATCTCGAGGAGATGGTGATCCAAACCATGTTGGGACTCTTGAAACTTCCCAAGCTCTGCAAAAAGAGATTCTTGGCCAAAACCAGTGACCAATGAAAACTTTAGCCAGACAAGGGCCACCTTTTATGCCAGTCTGTCCTGATGTCAGGTGTCTTGGGGATTTTCCCCTTGTTTTTTCTACCAGTAGCAATCATCATACCAGAAGTAGACAAAGGTTATCCCCCGAACAAACTGATCTCCTGAATAAGCGCTTGTTGGAGGATGTTGATGGTGAATCAGCCCTTGAGAAACCCCAAAAAGAGATCAGCACGGGCTGAAGTAACCTGCCTCAGTCAGGTGACATATGAAAACCATGAGATTCGCGCTGAACCAGTTTGGGAGATATTTTGAGGGTCACCTTTAAAGTGTGGACCTAAATGGGTGTGGGTCAAAGTTGGGTACCCACAAAAAGTGGATGGTCAATACTAAAATGGGCTAAAATCTGTGGTCGCTCAGGATATCCAGCCTCCAGCCCCAATCCAAGACGCATAGTGCATGCGAAGGCTGGGCTGACTGGATACATGCCATGCAAACTCAGACGGCCTCACCTGTCGCGGAAAAGATCGAGGCCGTCTGAGCGCAAGGGATGCGAAAAGGTTCACCCCGGCCCCAACCCACTGAGTTCCAAATAAATGCATAATATATATATATACGGATACAGAATCTGTACAAGTCATTGCATGAATCATATATAAGCCATCAAAATATTTCATACATTATATATATGTGTAAAACAAAACAAAAAGGAAGACCTGGTTTGAATATATTGAAAACACAGTTTGGTGGCCAACCGGCGCAACGATCATGTGCGGTGACATCATCTGAGGTTGCAAATTCTTTGGCCAATTCCGTTGGGCCTCTTACCGTCAAAGAATAGGAACATATAGGAATATCATTTCCCAAATTTGGGAATCATATTTCGATTAGTGAGATTCCTATATATTCGTATATATTTCCGAAATAGGAATATCACATCCCAAATAATGCAGAAAGTGTGAAAATTTGCCTCATCATTTGGCTTGCGCGCCCCTCACCTTGTACCCCTCATTTTGCTTCAAATCCTCACCAATCAAGCCCTGCAGCCCTGTCAGTGCTTCCTCTGCGCAGCTAGATGTGCCTGAAGGCTGGGGAGTTTGCTACAAATTGTCATTGTTTGCTATGAAAAATGGCTCATTTATCGATGGTTTATCCATTTAGAATAGTGATTTCCCATTACCAGAGGGTATAAACCTTCACCTCTTCACATCATGCGCTCTGATCAAACATCGAAAGTTGCATCTGACATTCTATCATACAGATCTTTCTGAGATATGGTTCAAACATCTTTCTAAAACGATGCATCGTAGGTCATCTTATGAGTGCTCATAACATCTATATATATATAATTATACCCTCCAGTAAAGCAACAAAGCTATGGAAAATAACATGTTGTTATTTTTTTAAGTAAATCAACTATAAATGGGATAATGGATGATAATGGGACATGTGTTTTTCACAAGTAAATCAACGAACTAACTGGCCATGGCCGAGGCTACGACTCGCCCCACCTGCGTCGTCAAACTCCACCACCGCCGCCGCCGGACCTGGCGGACCTGGCGGACCTGGCTGTCGATGGCTCCAGAGCTCCAGGACGTGAGAAATGGCCCGGGAAGCCTGGCCCGGGATCAAATGCGAAGTTCCTATTTTCTTCGGAATTAAATAGATAGATAGATACAGTAGATAGATAGATAGAATGAATGATATAATGACTGATATATTGATGTAATGATATAATGATATATTGATGTAATGATATATTGATATAGTGAGATTATATATATATGATATGTATATATTTGTAAATGGTAGAAATTGGTAGAATTGAAACGAAATGGTGGATTGTTACATTGCCAGGTTAGGTTACCAAAAGGTACTCAATAAATTGGTGTGTTTTTCATAAAGAGAGAAAAAAATAAAGAAAGAACGAAAGAAAGAAGGAAGGAAGAAAGAAAGAAAGAAAGAGAGAGAGAGAGAGAAAGAGAAAAAGAGAGAGAGAGAGAGAAAGCCTGGGAAATATGTAAAATATTGGAAAATGATGAAACTCATGAATCAGATGGTCACACCTATTGGTGAAGAAAATGTGCACAACCTGAGCCCTCAGCGCGTGTATGGTGCGCGCACCTTGCATTCTCTCAGCCCTCCAAATCTCCATGACAACAAGCGAAAGAGCTCAACGGCTCCTGGAACTTCCGTCAGGGCTGTCAGAACGTCCTCAGTGGCGAGAAACGCCTCGAAGGCTTGAGAAACGCCTTTGGGATCTTTGGGTACCTGGACGTGAAATGCTCACCTCATTTTCAAGTACCACAGCCATTTTCCACGTCTCGGCCAGGCACCGCCCCTGCATCCGACGCCGCGCGCACCCAGCTGCGGTAGCTGTGCTGCGCTCGCTGCACAGCGTCGGGGACGTCGCCCATGGTGAACTCGGAATCCTTCGGGGAGCGGAACATGTTTGTGGATTTAGGGTATATATCGAATACTGCATCTATAGTATTCATTAGTATTCTATAATAGTTAGAGGTGGTTATAAACCAACTTATAACGCGGGGAGTCCTTCCTGTGAATAGGGTGCCCCGCAAGTACGGTGATTTACTTATCATGTTACCTATAGAAACGCAATTTTGGGGGGCATACACCATTTTCAGACACTCTCAAATGGTGGGGATACAAGCTGGTAAATGTGAGAACTGTACACCTAAATTTTGGGTAAATGTTTGGAGTTATCAAGTTATCAATGGAAACCTCTTTTATACATTGTTATACACTGAAAAAGTATGAAAAAGTACAGTGCATCACAGTTCTGGGGACAATTTAAACCCCAAAGTCTTCGTAGCTGGAGAGAACTGGGGCATATAACATTGGTATGACAGTATGACATCAAATAAACACTGTGGACCAGGGTTTTCGTCGCGGGCCATCCCCCTGCCAGGCGGGCTTGACATGATATCGGAATCACAAAGACTTACGGAGAACTCGATGCACATGACCAATTCTGGGGAGCACTGGAACATTGGTATCTGTTTCTTTAAGCCAAATCAATCCGATATATATATATATAGATATACTGTATATATTATGATATAGCCAAAAACAAGGCACATTGTCATAGGCATGGGAAATACACCATTGTCTCGATTTCTGACATTCTACGATTTACAGTTTAGGGTTAGGATTTGTTTTGGTCCACCCCTTCAAAAACAAACACCCCCACAGACACACATTGAGGTTTCTGACAATGCGGGGATCCCAAAGTCACCCTGGATTTCAATACTAAAATATACTAAAATATACTAAAATGATCTAATAACTTGTATGATTTGGGGGTACCCCCACGACTTAGGAAACCACTTGACATATCAAATAGACCAACTTGAAGACCCAGCCGAGAAGCAATTAGAAGTTTAACCACATGACATCCGTTTGTGTCAAACAAATATATCACCTCCCTTTTGGTGGTTGCAATTTGACCCTTAAAAACAAAATCCCTTAAAACACCCGTTTTTCTGTCAAGCATCCAGGAGCAGCCAGGCGGCACTTTGTAACGTGGCGCAGCAGAAGTTCTCATGATTCTCAGCCAGAAACAGCGCTGCTTGGGGGACCAAGTCTGCGAAGTTTGGCGCTTCGTCCGTCTGAAGGGAAGAAAGAAAACCTGCTGAGATGACTGGAGGGGCAAAGTGGCTGGAGGGGCAAAACAGTGGACCTCCCAACGATTGAACCAGCACATGATAGAAACATAGAAACAAAAAAAGAGCGGAGAAGAATGAGAAAACGAAGAAATGATAAGAAATGCATAAATAGACCTCAAGTGACCTAAGTGCAAGGTATATGCGTTGACATCACAAAATTTGCAAACAAAAAGCATGGTCCTTGTAAGTGTTGGCCATATAAGTTATACCGTACCTCCATCAAACTTTCCGAAATGGGACCAGAACATCAACAGCACCAAGCTACACAAACCACAAGCAACACAAGAACACTGGCTATCAAACACTGCCTATCACTGGCTAGTTCCAACCTGCTAAGCCAAACATTCAACGAATTGTGACATCCCAGCGTCAGCGAGAAGAAACAAGAACATAAGTTTGAAACCAGCAGCCAGCGTTCTTTCTTGCTTTTTATTGGTCAAATATATCTACACCCCCAGGTTTGACCATCAACTAGATTCATTTGGGACCACTCCTGGCCTCAACTACTGTATCACAAGCAGAGCTTTCATCATGCATGGCCAATCTTACAATACCTGCGTTTTTGTGTTTTTCAAAGCTGGTTGGCACATTTCAACATATGTACATGTATAAATTCTACATGTCAAATTTTATAACTAACACATTAGTTAGTACCAAACTATCCACATTTGGCCCAGGGCATTCGCGTTATAAACCGATGGCTATTTATGATTAGGATCAGGGACCCCCAGTCATTCTGAATGGTGAAATCCACAAGAAAAATGTCACAAAGACATGGCATAAAGTGGCAGGCCCGAACAAATGACAAATGGGACTCACGATACAGTATATATATAACATATACAGTATATATATATTATATCAGTGTGTGTGTGTCAATGAGGAACCATGATGTGTTTGCAACATGATGATTTTTCCTATGTGTCCTAAACCCACATGGAGCCAGCCACTGTGCCGGGCGCAGCTGGCATCTTCACATCGCGCCCTTGTGGCCGAACTCGCGGCCGCGAGCAGGTCCGCCAGGGGCGTCGTCAGCTGAGTCAGCGACGGCAGGGACCAATCGGAGTCAGCGACCAAGGCAGGTAATCTCGGTGGGAGCAGTTGGAAAAGGCAAAAGCCTAGGACAAAATAGGAAAAATATGGGTTTTAGTGGTTTATACCTCCAATAAGCATTGGAAAATGGTGATCTAACCAAGAAAAATGTGGATTTCATGGGATTAAAACCTGATTTATGCTGATTTGATGGGTTATTAATGATCATTAATTCATTAATGAATATAACTATAGGATTTTTGAGCTTCAGAAGTTGGGATATAACCTCCATGCAATAACATGCAATTTCACCATGGTTTGTGATACTTCTAACGAACTTGTTATTGGCATTTATAAGCCAACAAACAATCACCACGGTGATTTATGGACTTAGCAGTTGGTCACAAGTCCCTAAGTAGATAGACTTACTGGTGCTTAGCAGGGAATGAGGGAATGATCCATAATCACTAGTAATAATCATCCCATTCCCCCAGCAACCCATCCATTCCCTACGTTTTGCACCAGTAAGTAGAAAATACCTGGGAAACCTGTTTCAAACACATCATCGACCTAGCATCCTGGTTGTTACCATAGGGCTAGCTGGGTTGTTTCCATGGTGGCACAGCACTTTGTTAGATAGCCTATAACCGGACCAAGCCGACTTACCCCACTTAGTGTATAACTTGGGTTATATACGTTGCAGTAATACCAATGTTTCATACATCCAGTAGCCTTTGGTAATCAAAGTCTGGCTGGAAATTCTCCCAGAAGAAGGTCTTAAAGTGTTGCAATGTTTGATTTTTCACGGCTTGCTAGTTGATCAACTTGGATGTGCCGTCACTGAGTCGACGCCAGGCAGCTGTTGCAGTGTCACCACCTGACTTCTCACCAGCGAGATCAGGGTCAGTGACAAACAGGTCATGGCTGCTTTGAGCCAAATGTGCCATCCCAAGGCCCGGGGCCGGATGCCACACAAGTTCTCTTTTTGTGCGACAAGAAATACAAAAGCGTAAAGCAGCATGTTGAGAACACATGGCCACGACTTTGGAAATCATCTTGAAAAAGCCCATATCTTGAAGATTTCAGGGCGGGCTCGAAACACAAATGCATTATACTTCATTGATGTCATCTTCAAATCCATATCCGGAACCCCAAAAACCTGCATTTTTCAATTAAAAAAACCCAACGGCTGTCTAAAGCTCGAAAAGGATGAGGCAATCCAAACTTGCAACACCATCGGATCCAAGTTCATCTTCGATTCCCAGTTAGGAGAAAACACTGAAAAGGGTCAATTTTTCAGATACCGCGAAATTTGGATGGTCCACACCAAAATAAACTCAACTATATTAAAATTATCCCACGTTTAACGTTAACGTTAATGGTATCCCCATGCCATGACAGAGACTTCACCAGTGGTTTCTCCAACCCGGCACCTGACCCTTGGGCACCGGAATCTCTCCGGCACCAACACTCTTCAAGACAGTAACCTGAACACGGGGATGGTCATTCGGCACTGAAAAAAACATGGTGGTTTTCATAGGATTCAGAATGGCATACTTTGCAGTTGTGGAGGATGAAAAACCGTGGTACTCCGAAAAATGAACCCCAACACAAGCCAAGTAGATGTCCCAAAGAAGAATCTTAGATGCGCTGCAGAAATATCTCAGCTCGGTCTAGTCTATATATATATTCTATGTACAGTTACGACAAGAACAATGATCATTCAAACATATACAGCATTTTCCGATTCCAACCTAACCAACGTTTATCGACAATTCAACTCTAGTCCGTACCTACACCATCAGTGTGTATGGTATATTGGACTGAAGGTTGAACGTACCCACAACAACCACACAATGTGGGGAAACGGATGGAACGTGACTATTTCTATCATAGAACCAAAAACGAAAGGCTTTTTATATAATTTATATACAGTAGTTACTATGACATTCTTATCCTTGATTTGTTTTAAATAAAACCATCACAGTTGCCAACAAACTGGGGACCAAAATGGAAACAGAATATCGTCAAAAACAACAAATTGGAACGAGATTGGCCACTGCAAAGGCCATGCCGATGTTGGAGTTTCCACACAATAAAAAGGAATTCCCATATTCATTTTCAGACAACCCCCACATAGCCCCAGAAAACATATGTTCCATGGTCAAAACTTGTCAAAACATATGAGATCCCTGGGATGCACACCCAAGTAGTCCTGAAACAGGCACAGCTTCTGGGCACCCCAAGCGGAGCACTTCGTCGGAAGCGTCATGTCCACCTTTCGTGGCTGTCCCGCCTGTGCAGAGACAGGTCAATCCAAATGCTCCATGGGAAAATTGATGGTAGCCACCAGGTAGAAACGTAAAACAAGTTGAATTGTAATATTGATTTTCAGACATTTTTGAACTGGGATTGCCCTTATATTGATCTTGGGGGTGCTATACCTGCCAGAATTTATGGCCCAAATCATCGTGCCAAACAGCTGCATCCGTAAACAGCTCCGTGGCGGTTGCTCACCCAAAAAACGACCCTTCCGGTTGCTAAACGACCGAGGGGTTCAAAGACTTCAAATTCATCTGGGAAACGTAGGAATATGTCATAATAGATCAATGATAATCATAATCTATAGTGATATACTAGGAATATACTAGGAATACATAATCATATCAGTACATAAACTTCTCAACCGAAGAATCAACAAAAACATGACCGGCGCTCGGGTCCTCGATCTTCGTCTGCTTCCTCTCAGTGCCCACCTCATGGCACAAGGGGAAATTACATCCATGAAGAGTTTAAATCTTTCAAATAGCAGTTTGTGGACAGCTATAAAAATACTGAAACAAGTTTAAAAAATAGGAATATGGGATGCCTATCCATCACTATCTATGACTCTTATGATGTGGTTGGGAAAGTCTAAGTAGCTCCTTAGCATGCTGGACCTCTTAGATACCATTGCTGTTTCCACATGAAATATATGACCAAGAGCTTGATACATTGGGGCTCACCACCAAATAGCAATCTCAAAAAAAGCAAAGAAGAACCACACATACATATCATAAATAGCACAACTCCAGCATGATATATATATATATATAATCTCTCTATATATATATGCAAATATGCATATAGAGTGACATCCTGTGATATCTATCATCAGGGAAAGAATCTAGAAAAAACCATCGCAGATCCAACGTGGCCACCACTTGGAAGCGCCTTGAAGGCCACCACGTTCTCCTGACGGCTGCCCGGCTGACCAGGGACGATAGGAACCGGTGGGAGCCATCGGCCAAGCAAGTGGTGAACACGCAGGGTCCAGTTTCATCCAGTGGGTCATGTGATATGCCATGATATCTGGGTAAATTATAATATTTCACTAACCTGAAATAAGGCAATTTTGGGATGATTCCTCTTACTAACCATGATTCCAGTGAGGGAGAACAGTGAGGTCGTTATAATTTACCCAAATGATATGCCATATGTCACTACTTCACTATACTACTTGCCACGTCCGGAGAACTCATGAACAAATATATATATATATATATATATATGAGCGATTGTGAAAACCCTAGGTTCACGGAAAGGACATCCACAAATTTGGGAAGGTCCCATCGCTTACCACACGTTTGTACAATAATGATATATGGTAAACTTGGGGGGTATCGCTTGCAGGAAACTGCTGCATTTATATATATATATATATTTATATGTGATGAACTATGAATAATATGTGATATTTGGGTATCGCTAATGTGGATATTAGAGAAATATGATGACATAACCTTGAAAAGGGGTATCGCTAATTTGGGAAGGTCCCATCGCTTACCTCGTGTTTTTAACAATTTCCATCAATTTCCATAAACCAATGTCCGTCGAATACATATTTAGTATTGCCGGGGTTTTTACGGTTGCTCATATATATATATATTAATATAAATCAATTCCACGCAGTGTCCAATTGATTCGGGATCGTTTTCAGGATTCACTTCGAATGGGGATTCAGGTCCCACCAATAAGAAAGGTATAGAAAGGTTGATGTTCTTGGGCTTATCAACCACCAACAATCACAGGGCTTATGAACTTGTATATCATTTGCAAAGTCACCTCAGTGGGGCTGGATAAATCCGCATGATACATCCCATCACGTCCCCATGTTGGTTTATAGTATTGGTGGTACATCCCCTATAAAATCCCAACTAGATCCCTTCCACACAATGTTAAACACCCCCAGAAACCATGATAAAGTATGGGGGATTCACGTATCAGGGACCATCTATAGGGGGTGTTTAATCTTAGGGGACTGCAATCATGTATGTATGGCATGGTATGGTATGTTATGGTATGGTAATGTATGGTATGGTATGGTATGGTAGATCCAACGTAAATCCGTTTCCGCTTCAACCTTTCCGCTGAGGTCGGTGCCGGTGGCAGCTTTGATTCCAGGAGCACCTGGTCGAGACAACCCACGTGGCATCCATCTGAAAATAGGAAAAACATGGGAACACATTTATAATATACTGTATACAATATACAATGTGGGACGCCAATTAGTAGCCTATTGTGAGTTGATCTTTTTTCAAAATTATTGAGTATCTTGCTGTTTGTCTGGGGTGGGCCTCTATTGTGAGAAGTTTTTTCTCAGATCCATGTTTTTCAGAAAGAAAAAATGGTGCAAGAAAAAAATAATTATGTAATTGCCTTTCTTCTCAATAGATTTCTTTGATGTTCAAAACAAAAATCAATTGAAAGTAGATTCGAATGAATTGAACGTAAATTGATTTCAATTGAAACCCTTTCTTATCAATAGATTTCTTTGAGGTTCAAAAGAAAAATCAATTGAAAGTAGATTCAAATGAATTGAACGTAAATTGATTTCAATTGAAATCCTTTCTTATCAATAGATTTTCTTTGAGGTTCAAAAGGAACATCAATTGAAAATAGATTCAAATGAATTGAAAGTAAATTGATTTCAATGGAACTCCTTTCTTATCAATAGATTTCTTTGAGGTTCAAAAGGAAAATCAATTGAAAGTAGATTCGAATGAATTGAAAGCAAATTGATTTCAATGGCACTCCTTTCTTATCAATAGATTTTTTTGATGTTCAAAAGAAATATCAATTGAAAGTAGATTCAAATGAATTGAAAGTAAATTGATTTCAATTGAAATCCTTTCTTGTCAATAGAGTTCTTTGAGGTTCAAAAGAAAAATGGCGAGTTGTTGAGCTTACTAAATTTGTTTGGGTGGGCCCTACACTAATCAGCATCCAACATTACATATGTACCACCAGTTAAATGTCAATTTGAGATGGAAAATACCCTCTGGTAATTTAACATAGCTATTGGCAGCTATTGAAAATGGCAATTTATAGTGAGTTTTCCCATTAAAAATGGTGATTTTCCATGGCTATGTTAGTTTAGGAGAGGGTATATGAACATCTGGGGACATAATAATGATTAACTGCAGGTTTCAGGGGTACCCTAAACTCAAAGAAACCCATGGACCTTAGCTCAGTTCCAAGGCAGGGGGATTCTCCAAAGCCATGCTTGGCATCGCTACCACTGGGTACCCAACATGAACCCCCCAAAAAAACATATATTTCCAAGCAAGAGAAGTCAAGGAAAAATCATCTTCCAACCCCCCACTGCTTCCTAACCCTGGTAATCAGCAGTCATTCCTGGCTTGTCCCATTTATATCCATTTATTGAGATGATCCTGTAAGTAGTCGCTTCCTCTTCAAGAAATTGAGTCAATCTTGGATCCAAGTTCATGGGATCTATTGTCACGGGGATGCAATAGAAGGTCGACCCCCATTGGGGAGACCCACTTTCTCTCTGCAAAGGAGACCCACTTATTATCAGCCATTATAGGCTTATGAATCACCAACACCCACTGGTAAGGGCTTATGAAGCATCTATCATTGGTGAAACATGGCTACAGTAGCTGGAATGCATCCCCATTTTAGTGCGATGGACCAATTCCGATGCCTCCAGTTACTCAGTTACGATCCGGCCTCCATGACGGTGCCGGATCGAGGCGCACGTGCGGGTGCCAGTGAGACTTTGCGCGGCGCGGCACGGCACGTGCTCGAGCCGGTGCTGAAGGGAGATGTGCATGGTTTTTCGATGTTTTTCGGGTGAACATTGCATGTTTTAGCATCAAATTCATGTGGTAAACCCAAGAGTAAGCCCATCGCTGATGGTTTATACAAACGATATGAATGGATATGTGCGGTCATATTGGGGATGGTTTTAATGATTGGCCTTAGATGGTCAAGTGCCGAAGCAGAAATCGCCGGGAATGATTCGTGTCCATCTTCGCACGAAGAATCATGGACCAATGGGAAGGCAACACATCAGCAAATCCAGGATTTCATCTTGACAAAGCAACAAAGAGCACATGTTGTGCTTTTGGGAATGGATTCAACATGATTAAACTCAGATTAGTTGATTAGTTTGAAATTGTCATCTAAACCTAGTTGTTGGGCTCTTCATCTTGAGCCAATCAACATGTCTAACCAAATCTGCGTAATTGCATTTCGATTCCTGGTAGCTGTTTGTGAAACACATGGTGCCCAAAGATCCCAAAGCTTGCCACAGGTTTGCCCATGTTTCTTGTTTACATTGCCTGTTTGCTGCACTAGACCAAGATTTCTGTCAACATCTATCAGCTGGGCATCCTTTGACATGATATGACAACCTTCCACAATTTCAGGTTCTGAAACGATGATCCTTTGATGAGGTATGGTCCATAATGGTCCATATCAGTCCATATCATGGTCCCCTAGTCCATCACCCAATCAGGGTAGGTTTCTCCGCCGGACTTTTTTTTTCAGTTGCGTCCCTCGGGCTTCCACGTGTCGGCGGTGACGCAAAGTCCCAAGTGGGTCCTGCCATGGTCAACGGCGGGTGTGGTCAGGGGCTGGAAATATATGGGAAATATGGCTTAAATATCTGGACCATGTACATCCATGTACTCTGCCAGCAAGCTGATTCCTGTCTTTGTTCCGTTGTTTTTGTTCAACCCATGTTTTCCAGATTTTGTCCAGCCCCCAGTGGGATTGTTCTCATCTTCATCCCTTCCATCCCCTGCCTTGGGAGCGTGGCATTGCGCGCTTGCGCTGCAAATATCGCAGAATGCCCAGATAGGGCGAACAGTTGGGATCTTGGGAGTTGTAGTCGAACCAACACCTGCAGGGCTTCGATGTCGACCCGGAGGTTCATTGGATGATGTTGAAAAAAAAACAACTTTTTATGGTGATGTTATAGGAAGGATTATTTTCTGGTGTCTGTTGGGGTATGTTTTGTATTGTTTTGTCCTCTAGATCCTACACAGAATTGGGTCATGTCATATCCCTATGGCAGATGATGGCAGATGTTTGGTGGTTGAAAGGGCACAAAGATGTGAGCCACATCTCCATGTTACGAGCCGAACAAAACATCTTCGAAGCCTTGTTCTCTTGGCGTCCCACTTAGGAGTGATGTTTCTAGATGGCCAACCTTAGATACCCTCAAAAATTATCAAATTTATTCTTCGAGTGATCCCCAGCAACTGACTGTCATGACAAAGGTTCCTTGTTCGGGCCAGCCCCAAACAGACTAGCAGAGCTTGCTGTAGCAGCGGCGCGGCTACTTAAGAGTCATTTACACTTATTGTTGGTTATAACTTGTAAGTATATATATATATATCAGTGATGAGCGCAAAGGAGGCATGGAGGAGCAAGCTGACATAAAAACTAGAGACCCTCACCATGTGAGGGAAACAATCAGTGTCTAGCTTATTGATATAGACAACTAATTTCTAGAAACAAATTCCTACCTGCAGATAAATAGGATGATCAACCATGACTAGTTGGAATATCATGCGATATCCAAAGTGATAGTATGGGTTACTCATGTTTATCCAATCATATCAAGTTATATTTATAACGTCAAACACAGATTATATATGGGGTAAATTTCCGCACAAAAGTATCACTATTATCACTATTTGGGGGGACCCACAATTTATCAACCAGGTAATTAAACAGTTTTTCTTTTTTTGTTTCAACTGAGGTTGACACTATGTGTGTATATATATATACTATATATCTCTCTCTATCTTGGTAAATTATAATCTTTCACAAACCTGAAATAAGGCTATCTTGGGGATGATTTCCCTTAGTAACCATGATTCCAGTGAGGGAGAACAGTGAGGTCGTTATGATTTACCCAGATATACACGTCCATTGGCAGGTCTGCAAAGGCGCTTCGCGGCGTCGAAGGCGTGTCAACTGATGTCCTCTATCTACCGTAGCTTTCAAAATGAAGGCTAAAGTCACCTGGTAAAAAGGCAATTGATGGATAAACACACACACATACACACATATATATACTCTATAATATATATATATGTCACAAATATTGTTTTAGATGCTAGATCTGATAGAGTTTAGATCCGGCACCTTTTTCAAGGGAAAACAATCTGCTCAAAACTTGCTCAATTTTCACCAAAAACCTATTAATTTTGCTCAAAATGAAAGAAATTGATCAAAATTGCTCAAAACTGTTCAAACCTGCCTGCAGTTGAAGCGTGTGATGATGTTTGTGAAAAACGTGTGCATGCTGTTTTTGCGTTGGCTCACATCATCTGGTGACCGGTTGCCCCGTGGGAATCCGTTTTTGTTTCGTCAAGTGAGTTGGCGCTAGCGGTGGCGCGCATCAATTTTGGCGGAACAGAATCATCATAAATCATAATATGAACTTTTGGGATCTTTTGGGTATTTTTGAGTTTTCAATCCTGCAGGATCTAACACTTACGGATCTGGACCCTGAAATGATCTTAGTGAATATGTATATATATATATATATGTATGTATGTATGTATGTATGTATGTATGTATGTATGTATGTATGTATCATAAAAACCATGATTTCTCATGGCGACGTCGTTAAATGGGGTCTGTCTGAAAATGAGGTACCACCCGCAAAATTCCATTTCTGAAGGGAATATGAGGATCCACCAGTGGATGAAGGGTGGTTTTGCCGTAAATACTAACCCGAGTTACCAACCAGCAACCCCCAACTAGCATAGACCCATATAGACCCCAAGAATCCACCATTTTTAGATGGCAGTCTTCCAACCCCCGACCGGGGGGGGGGTGGAAAAAACCGCCCTTTTTTGGGTGAACTATGGTTTTTACTGCAACTAATATATAGATGTGGACCAAAACACCAGTGTTTTTGATCATTTCCCGAGGCTTTCACCGTGGGTTTTCCACATCGATCCTCGGCCACCTGTTCGCCATCACCGCTTGATGCATCTTCTGCACCAGGGACGGCCGCTGCTCCAAAAGCCATTCCAAGTGCTCTGCGAGGGCTGGACCCACCTGCGTTAAATGACCCATGTAAGATGTTCATGTGGGCTGTTGTGTGTATAATATATATATAATATTATATTGTATAATTAACATATAATATATACATATGGGGACTATATAATGACCAACATGAACCACATAACTTAGGGGATATCATATGGGGAGATCATGGAAATATCACCGGGAAGGAGGCACCCATATCAATCTGTGATTGCTGTTCAATATGATTGTATTCCCTACTGACTTCAAATTGGAATCCTAGACCCTGCAAAAGGAAAAGAACATGTTTTTAGCTGGTCAGCAAATCCGTATAATTGATTTAATGATGTACATACCGTACTATGTATACATAGACAGATATATACATATATATATATACATATATATATAATATTCTCCATTTGCAAAAAAGCAACAAAAGAAACAAAGTGCCCATCAAAGGTTCCCAGAAGATTATAAAAGATATAACAGTTTCTCAAACAGCAGCAGAAACGATGTGAAGCCCAACCGAAGAGGATGAGCGGTGACTGGAAGCTAGAATCACACTTCTAACAGTTGCGCTACCAGTAGATGATCTTTCCCAAATCGGAGCTTGAATACCGGTTTGATGATGTCTTGCTTTCAATGTTTGGGTGTAAAGACTGAACACATGACTTTTGTGGACTTCGATCTTCGATCTCTTGTTTTTCACTCCTTGGGGAAAAAAGAAATGTAGATGTTCGATCTCATTAGTTGTTGTCCTGAAGACTCATAGGGGGATGCCAGGAATCAAAATGTCATCGTAGGAACAGCGCAGAGCTGAACTATATCAAGAGAATGGCCTTCTTAGCTCCTGACTATGGTCAATTGTAGCTGGAAAACTTACAAAAAATCTGAAACGAGATGAAACATTCCTAATATGTCGTTTAAAGGTTCATTGACAGCAATCCTTCCAAACAATAATAATTCAAAGTCGAAGTTCATGTTCAATACACCAGGGTGAAGTCTTGAAATCGGGACCCGCTGTTGCCCACTGTAACCCTGTGCTGGCGCGCAAGTTCCACATTGGACCACAGTTTCCTCTGAAACGACTTTAAGTTGAGTGCCTAACAGCCACAAAACTCAACATGGTCCCTGGTTCCATGTTTTTTTGGGAGTTCAGCCAAGGCAGGCGTGGGGACGAATAGTACTTGAAATCAGCAACCAAATAAAAATAAAAACATCTAGAACATATGAACGTTTGTTCATACATATACACATTGCATTGACACACACGCACACACACACATATATACATATGTATATATGGTTGTTGATCAAAATTCCTTTATCCCGGAACGGCCATTCTTCGCGAATAAAAATTTTACTTTCGCGAAACTTTCGCGAACTCCATGTTTATCTTTCGCGGGGCACATGTTGGCCAACAACACCTCATATGAAGATTCGCTCACCACCTGCCAAATTACGCCAGAGAATCACGGATCACTTCTTGGCAGCCTTTTAAACATGCAGCTAGCATCACGGAATCCCTTCTCAGGACAGATTTTTTTTGCAAAATTTACTGGCCCACCCCCTTCAACATGCACTTTGACTTTCGCCCGCTCTTTCGCATAACTTTCGCGGAACTTTCGCGAAAATATCCCTATTCATAGACCCCGGCCATCAGCAGGGGGTGCACTGAAGGAAAAGCGAAGACCAGGGGCCTTGTTGTTTGGCTCTCGCAAAGCCTCACTTTTGGAAACTTGGCTACTGCTACTCGCATTCTCTGGTGCCCTTCTCCTGCCGGACCCCGGGCGGCAGTGGGTGGCAGCCCTTTACATATAATGATTATAATACTCAACTTTCGCGAAACTTTCGCGAAATAAAATTTTACTTTCGCGAACTCGAAAAAAACTTTCGCGAGGGTTTCCAACATAACATGCACGGCTTTCGAAATTAAAACTCCTTACAAGGACCTTTAGATCGATCACCATATATATATATATATATTAGTATATGTATATAACATTATATAACTATAAATAAAACTATATATACGTATATTATATATATATATATTAAAAAAAACAAAAAACATATGCTGTTTGACTCTGATGTCTAGAATTCTTCGAATTAACGACCAAAAACCGAACCCCCCATTAGGTGCACCTCTGCCATCGGCCACTTCAAAGAGAAACTTCCCCTCATCACATTGCACCACGAAACCATGGACTCAGAGCACAACCCAACCATTTATTGAAATGTCGGTTGCAAAACACATACCATCTGGTTGCAAATCACCATTTTTAATAGGTAAACCATCTATAAATGGGCCATTTTCCATGGCTATGTTAAATAACCAGAGGGTAATTACCAAATAAACTACCGGCATGCTAATTATGGGTCCAAACAGACAAACAAATACACTTAAATAAATCAAATAAAGGAGTTGATCTCGGCTTAGGCCTTAAACATCTGATTCAAACATGTACAATAATATAATATATATATATATTATATAATATTGATAAGAGTTTTTTTTGCCAGGGCTTCTCAGAGGATTTGCCCCACCACACTGCCCGCATCTTCGCGCAGGCAAGGGTTGCCAGTTGAGCGTGACATGAAATGACAAAGTTAAGTCCAAAGAGCAAGATTAGGTTGTACAACATATTGATAAGAGTCAAGCACAAATTCATACACCCCGGCTGGTTTCAACTATGCTAAAATGATTAATGATATCGATCAGGGGCCTAAAAATTCCAGACACCAGCAGTGCCAGCTGCCAGGTGGCCAGTCCACGATATCATCGAAGGGAAGTCCAATGTGATCAGAAAGGATCACCTTGTCGCTCACCATGCAGCTGGCTTGGACCAATGGAGCGCGTAGCTTTGGGATGTTCCAAAGTGGCAATGTACAAATCACATAACACGCATGATGTCGTTTCACCATGTTTCATGTGCCATGCATGATGCCGCTGGTCATTGGTTTCGTACAAAACTTGAGTCTGCTACAATGTAGTTCTAGCCAATAGAACGCTGACCTACTATGCAACAAAAAGAAGTGGATCCAAATTATCCGTCGCAATTTACTGCGTGCCCATTCCAAGAAACAAATGAAAGCAATCCATTGCACCTAATACCAAACACCCACCAAACGAAACCGTGCTTTAGTATTGCATCTATTCATGTTAAGGTCCCAAAAGATGGGGTTGGTAATTTCATGTTGAGACACCATTGAACCATCATTAAAGCATCATTAAAACACCAGAAATCTTTGTCTTCCTCAGCCAGCAGCTGGGATGCAGCCCGCGAAGAGCACTTCATACAAACGATTGCTCCAATAGCCTCAGTTTGCTGGGGGGTTCCACTGGGAAACTCATTTCCCCTATAGAAGCAGCGTTATCATAGCATTGCATTGGTATATCATAAATCGTCGGAGCTGTTCTATTTTGGGGGATCTCATGTTGGGTAAATACCATGAGCCTTCCCTCAAGTGTCAAATATTCATAGGGGGATGAGAAAACGATTTCTACGATTTCGCAGTGGCTCCGACGGTCCGACCATGTCCGACCCACTGGCGGAGAGCGCCAATGCAGTCATGATGCCCAAACCTTTGGGAGCGAAGCAAAAGTGGCAGTCGCCGATTCGCTCGAAGTATTCCTCAACTGGGATCCCTGGGATTTTTGGGATCTCTGGGATCTCTGGCTCCATGTCCTTTGAACGATATGGATGAAGCATCAAATCTGGGAAGCGTCAAAAAAATGGTTCGGATAATTATGATTCTACATTCTTGATTTTGTAGACTGAAAATGGCAATGATGTAAAACCACGTGGGACCATGTGCCTTCAAATTCTTCAAATTAAAGCCATCCATCATTGCAAGTATTGGTCATCTTTTCCAAACTAGGTGGGTCCTCAAACTTTGCCAAAAAAAAACGTAAATTTACCACATTCACTCTTCCTACATTTTCTTCAAACTGGTTCTTGCTTTCCTGGCATCAGCGCAAGTTTCCCTTTGGGAATTGCCGGGCCGCGCTGCCACGCATATAAAACAACCAGAAAACATCCAAAAACCATCATCAATACTAAGTTGCCAAATCTACTCTGATGACCCACCAGCAGCACTGATAATACACGTATGTAAAAAAACATGTACAGTAAATAGATAATACATACATCCGAGATAGACATGGGATTCCGTGGGATTTCATATTCACGCCACATTCTCATCTTACTTCCAACTGCATGGGTCCCACGACACACCCCCGGACAGCGGTGGCAGCAAGCAGCGGTGATGCGGGCAAAGCGGTAGCCAATGCTAAAATTTGCTCGACCATTCAAGGTCTGCAGGTCATTTCTCACCTCAGCGAACTTCTCGGCTGCCATTGTGCTCAATGATCTGATACTATAAACCAGCCCCTCGCTGACATAAAAATATGGATATTACGCAACCATGGTGCAGGTCCACAGTCAAAATCTGACAAAAACACATTGTAGGCATGTCTTGTGCATGTCGTATGCATTTCATGGTGTTTTCTACTGCATGTTCACGGCAAGCATATGGCATCACTAGATTTCCGTGGCAGCAGCAACCTCCGACCTCAATCTCTAAAATATACCCAAGTACCACTCAACTTGATATACTGTACATATTATACATGATGTGTCGTATGATACATAATTACATATATATACATATTGCACCTGATCTTCCCAGGCTTCCCTACCTAACCATACCTAACCTACTTAACTTGATCACATCTTATACCTCGTGTTCACCTGAGTGGCAGTGGTGTTGGCATACTTATAGATGGCCAAGGCGTCTGAATCCGCCCCATGGTAGCAGGCGGTGTAGCTCCTCCTCTCTGGAGGTTTCTCCAGTTCAGACATCTTTTCCACGCTCCATCTTTCCTGCGCAAACGCCAAGGGATGGTTCATGATGGTTGATGATGCTTGGTTGACTTCAGCCGACCACAGGTGTTTATTCAAAGGGGATCCCCAAGGCTTTTGAAATGTTGGATATCATCAGAGTTGGGTTTGAAAGGTAGTAAGTCGTTGCTAGCTGGTACGAGTCTGTCCCCTGATGTTTCCTACTTGTAAAACAAATAGAACCCACTTCCACTCCGTTCTGCATCATTTCGTTCTGACCCACGGCCAATCAAACCAAGTTTCGACAAAGCCTGGAATGACATAGTCCTTCCAGCGTGTAAAGCACCAATGACAATGCTGGCAATGAGCTCCAAAGTTGTCCGCAGTTTCTTCTGAGAAAAAATCAAAGTCCGTACCTCGGACAAGTTTGGCCGTGCCCTTGGGGTAGGTTGGCCTAGTGTCAACATCTTGAAGCATGTGGGATCTCTTGGAACTTGGAGTCACCCAGCGGAAAAAACATGGTTTGCCCTGCGAATATCTAGGTTTTTGTCTCCCAATATCTATCTAGGTTTCCCGGATTCTGCATTCCTCATGATTGGCAATATTTGATCTGCATCAAACAGGGTCTCTAATCGAGGGAAACATGTTGAGTTGAGTATATATATATGTATATATATATACGTATATATATACATATGTTTTGATGGAATGTGTTTGTCCAACTTAAGGCTCACAAGAGGCCTATAAAAAGGGGACCATTCCTGCAACACGACGTGCCGAGCTTCATTCAATGGGCACAGCTTCAACGGAAAGAAACAACGAATCGGCGATGTAGTCCTCACGTCACCGGAGATGTGTCACGTAGTTATAGGGAAAACAATCACCATTATTTATAGGGAACATCCCCATTATTCATAGGAAAATCAGCATGATTTATAGGGAACATCACCATTATTTATAAGGAAAATCACCATGATTTATAGGCAATCATCATAAATCATCTAAGTCTAACAATATGGATAATATGGGTCATTTTCCATAGCTATGTGTAACAAAAATGTTAAATCACCAAAGGGCTAAGCCTCAGCCAATGGATTCCGAAAGGAGGTCTGGGGATTCTCATCCCACGGGCGGAATCCAACCAACCCAAGACTTTGCTGGTTGCCGGTTGGTCCATCCCCTGAATAGCCGGAAAAAAAACATTAGGGATCATCATCGATTGAAAATAACAACGATGAAGTCACCAAACTTGAAAATACTATATATATATAATAATATATATACACCATCTGGTTATTTAACGTAGCCATGGAAAATCCACCCATTTTTAAGAACGGCAAACCATCTATTTCTATGGGCCATTTCCCATGGCTATGTTGAATTCAGCCTGACTCTGGTGGCTAAATGACCCACCCAAAGGGGAAACATACCCTCTGGTAAACTAACATAACTATGGAAAATCACCATGTTTGATGGGAAAACTCACTATTTCTATGGCAATTTTCGATAGCTTTTTGTATGTTTACCAGGGGGTATCAATTGGGATCATTCCCGGAATGAACACTAGAAACAACTAGAAACAATTTGACAATAGAAACAAAGGACAAACAGCGAGTGTTTAGATGAGTTTAGGTCGTGTTTAGGTCCTGTTCTCTCCACCGGAAATGTTTTTTACACGTCGCCGGGAGAAATTTTTTACCCCGCTCCTGCCACGAGGGGAAATCATAGGTCCTTGGTATCTTGGTACTGGCTGCGTGGTGAAAACAACAACTGGCTGGGCACCCGGCCTGGTAAACATACAAAAAGCTATTGAAAATTGCCATTTATAGTGAGTTTTCCCATTAAAAATGAACATAACAATTTGGTAAATGAACATAACAATTTGGAAAAAGCTGCGGAACTGTGTTACAATTCATGTGGGTGTTGCTAATATACAAAAGAGAATTTGCTTAGTAACAGCAAGGAATATCACACATCAGGAAATATAAGTGCGTGACTAGCTGACAACAAATGGAAGAACAACAACATTACTATACTAATACCCTCTGGTAATTTAACATAGCTATTGAAAATGACCATTTATAGTGGAACATTTCCATTGAAAATGGTGATTTTCCATAGCTATGTTAGTTTACCAGAGGGTAACCATTTCTTTGCCTATTTTTGCCTATTTGGTGTTTGAACCACTGATCCCGCATGAATATGTGTCGGAATCATAATTGCAGCAAATCTCAGCGAATTGAGGGTCGACGTTGTTCGGGGAAAAGTAACTACCCTCTGGTAAACTAACATAGCTATGGAAAATCACAATTTTTAATGGGAAAATCCACTATTAATGGCCATTTTCAATAGCTACGTTAAATTACCAGAGGGTATGGGAGAACCTCACACATTTCTGGGAAACACCAACCAAGTCATGTTTTCAAAAAGATAGTCATTGCTAGGTATTGCAAGGTATTGCATGATCTGAAAGGCTTGGGCCATGAGGCAGGTCCAGCCAGCCTAGTCGAACAGTCGACGCTGCTTGCGGATCAAAGATCTCAGAGGACCACAGAAAGATATGGTCTCGTCCTCCTTGGTCACTGAAGTAGGGCAGTTTTTCCATCACCAACCTGCAACATTCGGGAATATGCTGCCGCATGCATGCTGGAAGATGCATCTACGTACTGTTTTCATCTTCAGGCCGTGGTATCAAGGAGTAGGGTGCTGGTTGTTGCGTGCACGGCGAGACTGAGTCTAATTTTTGTTCCGCATTAAAGAGGCATTTCAGAAGTCAGTGGTACGGTTTGACTATTCCGTTCCTGTCTTTTGACAAGAGCATCACAGAACAAGCCTGATGAACCAAAATGTGATCAGAAACACAAATGAGAAACAGCATATTGTGGACCATCTGTTTGCAAGAGACAAATCTATACCAGGGATGACCCCTGAAGCAAACTAAACACTGCTTGCGGCACTATTTCCAACCATATCTGCGGTATATGCATGCATGCGTGCATGACATAGACATGTCAAGGTGCAGACATCTAGATGACTATGATTGTGCATCTGTAAATGTATACAAAAAATGCCGTCGGCTTTGGAAAATCGCCATTCCTAATAGGTAAATCATCCAACTGTATCAATGGTAATTTCCACTAGCTCTTGCTAAATTACCGGAGAGTATATGCAAATATATCCCATTAATTCAAATTATATGCCCATCATATGTTATATTCCCATTAAATAAATTACCACTATAGTCCCATGTCTACCATCTGGTTATTTAACATAGCCATGGAAAATGGCCCATAGAAATATATAGATGGTTTACCGTTCTTAAAAATGGGTGGATTTTCCATGGCAAACTGTGAGTCATAACCAGATGGTAAATATATTTTGATCAAACTATAACAGCTCACTATCGTGGAAATAAGTGAAACAAGGCGCCATCTGGGGTGATTCCCCCAATCCTCACCATCATTCCAGTAACGTCACGTCGTGAGGTCATGATCAAATTCACTCAGAAGCACATGTTTTCGGAGAAGTGGATAGGTTCCAAACAAAATTCCCTTAATTTCAATCATATCATACTATATCAAATCATCTGTAGCTATATCATGTTGCGTATATATATATATATATATATATCACACTATATCTACATCAATCTATATCATATAGATCATCATAGATCCATATAGTCTACCTACCAGGCACGTTGTTTCAATTTCCAAGGCACGTTTTGTAGAAACTATCCATTTCCTCAAGCGCTTGGCGAGGTGCGAAACGCTTGGCCAAACGCTTGGTGCGTTGGTGAGGTGACATGCGGCCAGGCTAGGACAAAAAAGTCGTTGGCAAAGTAAATAAACAAAAACATATCACACTACAATAGACATACATCAATTTAAGTATGAAGGTACTATAGTTACTATACATATATATTATTGTATGTTATTGTTATTATTGCGATTACTATGCACCACTAGAAAAATATCTAATATTATATGTATATTTGAATCACACTTTAGTAACTTTACCACATATGTCATATGTTTATAATTGATTATATATATGTATATATCACTGAACATCCACAGGGATCCACGTGGGATATAGTCTTCCACAGGGAATGGTATGTTTGGTCTTGTGACGTCACCACTGGGCTGTTAAAAAACAGGGGGCCCGGATTAATCACTGTGGGTCAAATCGATAAAGAAACGGAACGCATCAGCATAACTGGTGAAAAAACAAAACATATATAACTTTCCTATGTTAAAAAAAACTCCAAACAACTCCCGAAATGATTTGGAAAAACTGTCGCAGCTTCTTGAGATTTTCCCAGCTGGTCTCCGACTGTCGCTCAAATCCAACCGCCGAGGATCATCGGCCAATTTCTTCTCCTTGGTCATGACGCAGGCGGCATAGATTGGCACGAAGAAAAAGTCCGCCTCCGCAGGGTTCTCTGTGCGACAGGAGCTGTGCAGCAGAAATTGGTGCACGAAGACCTTGGGGAAACGCTGGGGTGATTGGTGAAAGGAACCGGGGGAGAGTCATATATTTTGATATGTAATTATATATAATATATTATATATATGTATATATTATACGGCCATGGTTCATGATGGTTCATGATGGTTCATGATGGTTCATGATGGTTCATGTAGGGAATTGCATGTGGTATTATACCGGATTTATCGTTGCTACGACTATAATCAGCAATGATATGTTGAGTCAGCTGGTTTGTGCGGTACGAGATCCCCTGGTCACCAAACATTCTCTCCCAATCGAAAGCGAGCTTAAGTGTTGGATCTATTCATATAGGGGGGGGGTCCCAAAAATTCAGGGACTTCCTGTTTGCAAGGAACACTTGGCTGGGAGGGAAACACAGATCAGCCGGTGAACCGTAATGGCCGGATATGGCCGGAACATTCCAACCGCATCGTAGTACCCGGCCCAGCGAACTGCCCAGCGGCTTCACTCGCGAACATGCCCTGGCTACAAAGCACCGGTTTCGTGGCAAAATCCGTCTCATAAACATAGATCTTCCTGAGGCGCCCTTACCGTACAGTAGCAGGGGGATCTGGTAAGGGATTCCAAGCTATGGGTAAGCCCTAATCCTGAGATTGAATGTTCCAAACTAAGCCCTTTTCTGGTCAAGAAGCGTTGAGAAGTCCAAGAACCATCAAAGTAACCAAAGCCTACTCCGAAGCCGTGTTCAGTTCAAAATCCAACAGATTTTAAATCGTCGTGTTTCTTTATTCGAGGAAGGCCCACCAACGAAATTACATCTTCTGCTGACACGCACGCAAACATGTAGAATAGTAACACTCATCTGGAATAATGAATGTCGTGATCGCCGGCTCAATATTGAGTGACAAATTGACTGACATTAAATTTTTCAACACACGTCACATATACAAACACCTTTGGCGACATAGATGCTGACATAAATGCTGGCGCACACACACACACACGCACACATGCAAAGAGACATACATACATACACACACATGCATTTTGTCAAACTTTGAATGGCTTTTGGTTTAAGATGTATTGTGTCATGTTCCATGACATTTGCACTTACATATACAGAAGTATACAGAAGTGAATAGAAGTGACATCTGTACTGATGTCAGTTCTGGCATGCAATCTGGCATGTAGTGTGATATGTTCAGCCTGACGTGAGCTGACACATACCATATATCTAAGATATCTGACACATTTGTTGTGAGATCAAGCGGAAGGGGACATCGGTGAGATCAGAACTTCGAAGCGGTGGCACTTTAGCTCTCGCCACCCAACGCCTAGGCCGTGGTTCGATTTCAAACATGTGGACGAGTATCAAAGGCAATCCGAAGCAGCTCTGCTCGCGCAAGCCCAAGATCAAAGGATATCCCGCCTCACCACAAGTTTCTGCCCACGCTGCTGCTCGTTCCAACGTGTTTTTGCTTTCACTCTTGTACCAAAACATGGCAAACTCTGAGACCTATTGAAAATAAACCGATTCCATGCATGGATATAGATAGACAACAGGGATGTTCCATCTAAATTTGCGCACCGACTGGTGGGTCTTCAGATTCCAGGAGAAGCCCGACATGTTCCACATGTGGCCATAGCTGGCCACCAACTCCTCATAGAGGAGGTAATACTCCCTGGCCTTCCTGCGGTGTTTTCAAGAAGAAGGGGCAGTGACTTTTGGTTCTAACTCGAGAAAGGGGTAAAGATCAGATTCGATGGATTGCTGATGATTGCTGTGAGGGACAACCAATAATTGATATAATTGTAAAGAACATATGGGGATTGTCCAATCGCTGGTGACAAAAATCGCGGGACCTAATTAATTTGTATGTTCTTTTCTTGTCGGGTGTCTTGGGAAGAGGTATCATATGTGCACCGAGTTGCATTGGTAAACAACTCTGTCGAGTTTGGAAAAAGTTAGAAAGCAACATCAAGAGGATATGGCAAGAATGGACAGGGCAAGGGTCTGCCATTCGCACAGTGTCCTAATCGCAAACCACTTGCGGGCACTTGACCCTTAGTTGGCCATGAAAATCATGAGGTAAATATATATATATATACATTTTAACGGGTCAATTGAGCGTCTAGGCCCGGTAGGCCCCATCATCTTTTACAAAACATCTTCCACAGTGTGCTTAGGTTTGCTGCCGCAGGTTTCGGCCTGTGGTTTTCTTCAGTGTTGTGGTGCCAATGGAAAACATATTCCCAGTTTGGTCTAATGAGCAAAGTGGTGCGCCTGTGGTGGTAGCATCCCAAAACCAAAATATGGCATAAAGGTTTATTGTTCCCAAACAATAGGTATTTGCAGTCAGTTGACAGTGTTTTTCCAATATATATATATATATTTATAATATACATCCATAAACCCCATCTAAATTGATTTGGAGGGTTGTCGTTATGGACAGTTGGTTGGTTTGAACTGATTGATGTCTCGGGGAGAGATCCAAGAATTTGAGAACGACCCCCATGCGGTATAAAACTGAAAATAGCATACCCTTAAATCCACTGGCAAATCATGATTGTCACTATTAAAAATTGGACCTACTTTGTGTGGTACACTGGTACGCCCTATTTTCAGGCACCCCCAAATATAATATTGCTGGTTACATCTCCATTGTCCCTTTCGTAGTATTGATCTTAAGCTGGGTGTGGTTTGTAAAGACGAACCTCCAGGTGTTCATGCTTGCAAAATGACGAATAAAAAAGGCGTTGTAAAATAATGACAGATTCCAATTCATAATATAAATGTGAGGTATGTTGGACTTTTGTTGTTTAAACATGTTTGATGCCCCATCTGGCATTTTATACTGAAACGAAACCGGTAATCGGAAAAAAAAAATGGAATACCATATAGACTGGGATTTGATAAAAAAGAAAACATCAACAACATTCAACAACGATCCACAATAATATATCCTTTCTCTGTGATTTTGTGCCTTGTTTGAAAGTAAGTAGTACCATATCTTTATTGAACATATATGTACTTATAAAATGGTGAATGCAATTATGTTGCAAGCTAAGCTCTTCTTTTTATCAAACATGGTAGCGTTGTAGCTTGCCTATTAGACTATGGGCAAAATCCGAAGCCAGCTTAATGGATTCATAAGGGTTGTTGCAAGGGGGATTATCCATCATATCCAGCTATTGCTGGTTACATATATCACCGTTACATATCCCATGATCATCTCACCAACCACTAAATCATCAGCTGGAACGAATCATAAGACATCATCCCAAGTATGGGTGATACCCTCTGGTAAACAAACATAGCTATGGAACAACACCATTTCTTCCATGGGAAACGAAGTAAACGGGCCATGTTCAGCCGAATCAGAGGGGACCATCCCCAGCGAAGCCTGTCCTTGTGCCCCAGCGAAGCTCCGCTTGAGGCAAAGCGTTCAGCGCAAGTACCGCTACACCCAGTGCGCAGTCTTCGATGGCTCCTGCAGAAACAACACTTGCCGCAGAAATGCTGGTGATTGCCAGCTGGCTAGTGTAGCCATATGGACATATATATATAATATACAGTAATATATATATAACCACACTTGTATATATAGATAATGTATATATATATAATGTATCTTTACATATATAATCATATATATATATATATATTATATACTGTAGATATATTGCGAACATACGTCGTATACATTACGTCGTATGTACATGTTTTATTCAGGTTGGAGGTTGTAACCCATCCCCAAAATTATGTTTGTCATCCCAACCAATCATCCAAAGTAGGTGTAACATGAAATATGTGAACCCCCGCCAGGAGATATGTAACAATATCAATCAGGCACACAAATCACACTGTAGAAGCCAAAGAACAAACTGTCAAAGCAGCAGAATGGTGGGGCATCTGTTTCGTCTAGCCAAGCCTTGCTAGATAGTATGGGACAAATCAGAATCAATATTTTTTGTTTGTATTATATAACCTCCGGCAATTTAACGTAGCCATGGAAAATTACCAATTTATAGAGGATTTATCCCATTCAAAATTGTTGTTTTCCATAGCAGCATGTTAAATTGCAATAGAGCGTTCTATATTCAAAATGCCTCAACCCCAGTGGACCATATATTTAACCTATCTTTGTTTCAACCAACAAACCTGTCGTACTTGGGGACCGTTGGCCTAAACTGGAGGGGTGCCCGGGAAAAAAGTGGATCTAGATAATGACCTTGAAACAACAGATATTTCCATGATTTGGGGTACCCCTGGCCCTATTTCGGGAAACTGCCAGATGTCATGGTATCCTTCAGCAAATTGACACATCAATATAAACAACCCATGGGAAACTCAAGGAATATGATCCACAAATGGTCAGTGGGTATATCTACGTAAATGTGAATGTAATGCAAAACTACAATCTGGGATTAATTTTCCTGTTTCAAATTTCTGAACACAAGAAAACTACAAGAGACGAATCTATGCATACATGGTTTTCCTTTTGCATTTTTCTGTTTATCACATATCACTTGCTTGCTTGGTTCAAATACGCACGGGTTCAAAAGAAATATTGCGAATCGACTCACCAAAGTCCAGCCAATCTGAGCATGGAGTTTTCTAATGTGGAGATGGAATCAAATGTACTCATTGCCAGTCTTAGCTTATTAGTATATCTCCCATGTGGCAAAGCCATACGAAAGTGCCCACCCAAACTGACAAAAACATCTTTGCCACGTGGGTTGAAGCCTCTCCTGGAAGGGCTCCAGAGCGCTCCAAACTGAAAAAGGCATTGGAGAGCCTTTTCAGTGCAGCGGGGCAGCCCCCTCTGGACTGGTTTTGGCATGAAGTATCCTAAGTCTCTCTCTCTCTCTCTCTCTTTCTATATAAATAAATACAGTATAATGTATGTATATATGAATGCATGGAGGAAAAAAACACAAGGACAACTCTATAAATGGGGATAAAAATGGGGGCCCACTTTGTAGGTTCACTTCTACGATGCTTTCCTCTGAAGGGGAGTGTCAATCATCCGCAGTCTTCTCAATTCCTTTCCCACACCACCATTCTACCAACGTTTTTCTCTTCGTTCCAAGCCATGCCCTAAATATTGGTCATAAGAATTCTCATCTCAAATGGGCTGAAAATAGAATCGTTTTGAAACCGACAATCAGATCTCCTTGCATAATGGCGTCAATTATTTGAATTCCAACCTCTCTCCTATTTGTTAGCCCACAAGCCAGTTTATACTTGTTGAATCCTTCTCCGATGGTTAAAATATGTTGAAATCCCTGCATTTCAGGTGTTTGAACCATTTAAAACCCATATTCTCGGTATCTTCCTGGTGATGACAAATCAACCTTTTTCCGTCATTTTGGGATCGCGGCCAAAGTGCTCAATGCCATAGTGGGGTGGCACGTGCGTCACTTGCAGGGCCTGCTTGGGAAATGGTTGAGAAAGAGCAAATAATTGCAGCAAATGGTTGCACATGGTTCAGAGATTTCTTGAAGTGACATACGGGTGACTACGCCGGGAATTAACGGGAAATCACAGGGATGGGAATTTTTTTTTAGCCCGGGACATGCTGGAAGAAATGTAGATATGATATACCATTGCCATCATGCCATCCCCCCCATTCTCAGGGTCTCTGTTAGAGGGAGGGGATGGTAGGTTGATTGGAATTGAACCAACAATCAGGGATGAACACAGATTATAAACTATGGAGGTCAAGTATGTCAAGTGGGATAAACCCAACAAAACAATGGATGATCCCTGCACCATGCCAGACCTTGAAGGTTATAAAGCCCAACAAGAAACAACTTGTATCTCGGATCCGACCAAACTATAGCAATCAAAAGCTGAAGTTATAGCAATCTATATAGCAATCTATAGGAAAACGGTAGTTGAGAAAAAACTGAAACATCTACAGCTCAATTTTGTGGGTTTATATCCCTCATCTACAGCTCATCTTTATCAAAGTGCTTGATAATGACCAAGCCCACGGGTTTTTGCAAAGGCAAGAAATCCTCCTTTCTGAATTGCTGGTGGGGGCACAAGCGATCTGAAAAAAGGCGCAGCTAATTGGGGTCACCGACCCCAAATGACAGTGCTACTTCGAAAATCTTTGAAGCAACCAGCCAAATACTTGTGAATACCCTAATCCGGCGCTCTTTAAATCAAAAAAATCATCTTATTTGTTGGTTCATCTGCAATTCATGCTAGCTGAATTCTCACTACCGGTTACCGCAACACATTTTCCCACCGTTTGGGTATGGTTCAGATTTGTCGACTCTCTTGTTGGTAGGTACACCAATAAATCTCCACTAAAATCATGGTCACACCTCGTGACCCAAAATATGCTGCTGAAATCCCCACTTTGGTTAAAGTCCACATCAAAACCCCACCATTTCACCTTACATCATGTTAAGATGGACGGTTTCTATATTTTTTGTTCTGCTTGTTGAATCCTATTTCTGGTCGAAACAACTCCATCAAAATGATGAATAAACAATTTTTTTTTGGCCAAAACATCTCCGTCCCACGGTGTTTTTCTTGTCCGCACCGCCGCGCCGAAGATAACGCGGCCTTATCGACCTCCCGAGCAACGGTCCACACATCCTGTGCCACCAGTTCGGTACCTCCACCTGGGGTCATCCACAGCGGGATCTCTCAAGGAGATTCTGACACTGGGGCTGGGTATACTTGGGATGTGATACTATACATATCACTTGTGTATACAAGTATGTATAGACATATATATATGTAAATATGTATGTGTGTGTGTGTGTCAAACCATGTTTCTAAGGGCTGTTCGTTTTTGCGGTTTTCTCAGTTAAGGTTCGAAACAAGGGGACTGCCTGACTTGTAACAGTGGCAGTCCAGCGAAGAGGCTGTTACAGGTCACTGAAATGGATTCTGGACGCAGAATTCACGTACCTGTTCCTAAGCGCAGAATCTCCGTTTTCCATTTTAGAGGAACCAGGTTATTTTTCAGTCTTATGGCAAGGTGGCCAAGCCAAAAACCACCCATGTCGATTATGACAATATAAGGCCTTCATGGGAAATTTGACACGACCCAATTGAGTTATCAATCTAACTATCGACGAAATGTGGCCTTTCAAGTGTGTGTGTGTGTTGTATAGATATGTACATATGTAAATGCATATCAACGTGTGTATGTATATATATATATATTATATTGATTATATTCTTATATTATATGTATATATATATATGTATGTATTGTATAGGTCGTGGGTGTATACTTGTATACCCTCTGGTAATCAGACATTGCTATGGAAAATGGCCCGTGTGTTTCGTTTGCAACGATGACTTCCTACAAAAGTCCGACTGCATTGGTAACCACAGCGGCTATCCCAGAATGGGATGAATTCTATCTAATTCTATCCATCTATGGGAGATCTTCAGGATCCTAAAATGGAGGTACGTTAGTACCATATTTTTGGCCATATTTTGGTACCCCTTAGGCCTAAAAATAGGCATTTTTTTTATTGTAGGTACCTCCAATTTGGGTTCCTGGAATGGCTATTGAACCTATCTATACCTATCTATTCGAATCCCAGCTAATCCAATCAAATCTAATCATAACCGACATGTTGACAGGGTCGGTCACACAATCCAGGTCCCCTTGCAGCCCAGATGCACTCAGTATATGCTGCTGCCCAGCCAACTCCTGGGCCACTGACCCGCCCCGCTGCTGGGGAGTTTCACATTTCTGCGGACCATGATGTTGTTGATGAGTTTATACATAGAGACGGAGATCGATATTGATATGTATATATAAATATATATATATATATGTATGTATACTGCATGTATATATATATATAATATATATATGTGTGTGTGTGTGATCAATTATGAATGAAAATCATATTATATGCACATTGATTCACAAGATGGTTCACTCAGATCCCAAAAAATCGTTGCAGGCCACGCCAAGGCACCCAGCCAAACAGGCCCACGTCGCCACATGAGGCCATGGCATGCGTGGCTTCTCACAGGACTTCCCCCTGTGAAGCCCTGATTCGTTTCAATTGGTAACCGATTACCCACGATTAGAATTGATTAAAGAGGAATAATAATTACGGTATAATCTGTATAAACTATAGAAACAAAATAATCATTAGAATTTTATAGAATTTTAATGGAACCATCATAAGGATCAGTTCGTATCTCAAAAACCATGTGGTGACAATCACCAGCATCTCTCAGAGCTGGGGGAAATTCATTGTGGACATGCCCAAGCGCGAAACCCATTTGAGACACTTGAACAATGTGGTATTTTGTTTGGCCAATGTGGTAATGAATGTGATAATTTGGACAATTAAACATAATCAAACATTGTTTCCATCTACTTTGTGGTAATGTCTATGTTTTTTGGCTGGGCGCAAGAGACAGCACGGAAGCAAATGACTCGGAAATCTATGGAAATCTGGGTGCTGGGATCCAATGTATTAGCTGATCCCGAGTCACTAAATGTCATTTCAACCATTTAGAAACAACGCCTTTAACTGGTTAGTGGTATACCTACCCCTCTGAAAAATATGAGTTCGTCAGTTGGCATGATGAAATTCCCAATGTATGGAAAAATAAAGTTCATGTTCCAAACCACCATCCAGTTAAAGCTTCAAACTAGGTGAGCTGGATATAGCTGGATGTCAGGGGGCAAAAACACCAGCCAGCTGTTCAAATATGCCACTGGCCCCTAACAGGTTTTACTTATACCCACAATCGGATGGTTGACTTGACTAGGGATATGAGCTACACAAGTACCTTTTCTTGCACGCTGGATCCCTAGACGGGTCATAAATGGTCATAATTGGTCATAATTTCGGTCAGTCATCCTGGTGACTAAAACATTCCGAACCATTCCCCATAGGAAACCCAGTCGACGTGCGAGAACTGCACGTCTAATCCGGCAGCGTTGGTGCCATGCGAGTCCAGCTGCTTGGCATTATGATACCATTATTAGGGTACCATGGGTCTGATGAGGACGCATGCCAGAACCTCCAGCTAGATGTTGAGGATCGCACCTTCAAGTTCCATTTAAGCCACACCGTTTGTTTACCACCAAATTTGCAAACATTCGCAGCATAAACACTTATTATACAGATGGACTGCAAATCACAGTATCACCAAACTTGTTCATCTTATCCGATGTTCGGATTTCATCATGTTCTGGTTGGTGGTTTTAACCATCTTGAAAAATATTAGTCAATGGGAAGGATTATCTCATATATTATGGGAAAAAATATATATATATAACATGATTGAAACCACCAACCAGTGTTTTTACTCATAGCAATACCAAGCTAGATCTCCCAGGCGCCCATAGTGCCACCATGATTTTCCCCCATCGACATTGTCCGGTTGCGCGGACTGCGCGCGGGCGCGGAGGCAAAGTCCCAAGTGCGTCCTGATCCCGTTGAGTGGAGGGCAAGATTTACATACAGTATATGCTTCTAGTCAGTAGCCCCCCCCAAAATGTAGAAATGTCATTTTCTATGCATATATATATATATATATACACAATACCTGTGTGTGTCTGCTAAACTTATTGACTATAGAACATATAAAAACAAAACCTTTAGACTATTGACATTTAACCACTATCTTTTTGATTGGCACCCTCAAGGATCATTCCATGTTGAGTCAGGCAGGAATGGCCCTGGAAGTGGTGCACAAGACATGGGGAAGGTCAAGCCCTCTCTCCTCGAAGTTCGGAAAATTGTCTTTCGTAAGTTCGGACAAGATCGAACCAACCACTACTTTAGTACTTTACAATGCCTTGGAGGATCTTACGGGGTACAAGAGAAATCAAAGTCTTAACGATATACGATGTCATGTTAGCGTGTCATGATGACCGGGATGATCCTAGAACGACTATCCACCGAAATGTCTTCGGCAGGTGTTCCCCAATATGTTCAACGGCCATGAACATCAGTTCAATCTTGCCAACCTGGTGGCTGGGATATCCTAGGACTCAGGAATAAACATCATTGAAAAAACACCATACAATTGGTGGCTGTGTCAGTCATATGTGTTTTTGTTGCTTTATCTTGTTCTCCCAAAAAAAAATCTGGGATGATCATGCAATATCATCTGGTTGAACTACAATAATTCACCAACCTGAAAAATGACTGAAACTTCAAAACCATTTATGGATGATTCCCCTGAATTATTCTAGCCGCATCATTCCAGTGACGTCACGATTTGAGGTCATGATGAAATTCATCCAGGTGTAAATGTTTTTTTGTGTTTTTTTGTTCGTATAACTGGATAAGCTCCTTACCATTCCATTACCAAAAAATACCAAGAATTCCGATTGGGTGATGATTATTTTTGTTTATTTTTTCCAGTCTGGGGCAGTTTTCCTTGCTATTTGCTACATTTTTGGTGCTAAAATCTCAGACTTGCGTTATTTGCTGCATTTTGGAGCCAAAATCTCTGATTTGCGTGCTATTTGCTGCATTTTGGAGCTTAAATCTCTCTGATTTGCGTGCTATTTGCTGCGTTTTTGAACTAAAATATCTTATTTTGCATGCTATTTGCAGCATTTCGGAGCTGAAGTCGCAAATTTGGGTAGCTAAAAATGTGAACTTGCACGATAATTGCAACATTTTAGTTTTCACCATGGTTTTCAACGATGTCTGGATGGTTTTCATCGTTTTCTTGATCGTCTTCAATGATCTTTCCGTGGTTTCAATCATTCTTGAGGGTTTCTCCTAGGGTTCTTGAGGGTTGAGGGTTTCATTTGGGGGTTCTTTAGGGTTTTATTTAGGGTGTCTTTAGGGTGACGTTTTTGGCTTCTTTAGGATGTCATTTAGGGTTCATGTAGGGTTTCTTTAGGGTTTGATTTAGGGCTTCATTTAAGGTTTCTTTAGGGTTTCTTTAGCGTTTCATTCAAGGCTTCTTTAGGGTTTCATTTAGGGTTTCTTTAGGGTGTCGTTTTTGGCTTCTTTAGGATGTCATTTAGGGTTTATTTATATAGGTCTTTAGGGTTTCATTTAGGGTTTCTTTAGGGTGTCGTTTTTGGCTTCTTTGGGATGTCATTTAGGGTCTTTTGAGGGTTTCATATAGCGTTTCTTTAGGGTTTCATTTCGGTTTTCTTTTCGGGTTTCATTCCGGGTGCCATTTAGGGTTTCATTTAGGGTTTCTTTAGGGTTTTATTTAGGGTTTCTCTTGAGCCCACATTGCTGTAGGGTGACGTTTTTGGTTTTTTTTAGCGTTTCATTCAGGGCTTCTTTAGTTTCATTTAGAGTTTCTTTAGGATGTCGTTTCTGGCTTCTTTGGGATGTCATTTAGGGTCTCTTTAAGGTTTCATTTAGGGTTTCTTTAGGGTTTAATTTAGGATTTCTTAAGTTTTTTTCACAGTTTCTTTAGGGTTTCTTTTAGGGTGTCTTTTAGGGTTTCATTCCGGGTGTCATTTAGGGTTTCATTTAGGGTTTCTTTTAGGGTTTTCTTTTAGGGTTTCTTTTAGGGTTTTTTTTAGGGTTTCTTTAGGGTGTCGTTTATATAACGTTTCTTTAGGGTCTCTTTTCAGGTTTCTTTAGGGTGTCGTTTAGGGTTTCTTTAGGGTGTCGTTTTTGGCTTCTTTGGGATGTCATTTAGGGTCTTTTTAGGGTTTCTTTTAGGGTGTCTTTTAGGGTTTCATTCCGGGTGTCATTTAGGGTTTCATTTAGGGTTTCTTTAGGGTTTCTTTAGGTTTTTTTTAGGGTGTCGCTTAGGGTTTCTTTAGGTTTTTTTTTTAAGGTTTTTGTTAGGGTGTCGTTTAGGGTTTCTTCAGTTTTTTTGATGGTTTCGTTATTTTCTTACAACAGCATGCATACAAGTTCCTATACTCTATGTCTGTTGTTTTTGTGCAGTTTGCGTGAAATTAAATATATATATATGCAATGTATTACATCAAATGTTACACGCAAACTACAATACTAAAACCCAACGAACGCCAAGAGCCAAGTGAAGTGAACGGCCAAAAAAAACCAAGTGAAACCAAAACCAAAAGCCAAAAGCCACGAGCCATAAGCCAAGTGAAGCCAAGTGAAGCCAAAGCCAAAAGCCAAAAGCCAAAAGCCAAGTGGGCACGCAAATGAGAGATTCTGGCTCCAAAATGCATGCAAAACACAGATTTTAGCTAGCTCCAAAATGAAGCAAATAGCAAGGAAATCTGCCCCAGGCTGACAAAACAAAAACTAAAACAGAAAAAACAAATACCCTCCATTCCAATCACCCAAGGCTGGTCAGCCCTCCTTGTGACCAAGGAGTGGCCAGTTTCTTTCTCTGTAGATACCGCAGGATGCCCACGTAAGGTGAACAGCTGGGGTTCTGCGAGTTGTAATCAAACCAACACCTGGGCCGGGGACGGGCCGCAGGTACCCCCTGTTGTGAAATCTGTCCCTGGTGGGGTGATTGAAACTTGGAAAACTTGTTCCCTAGTCCGACATGTAACTCTCATATACAATACATATACAATACATGTTTTTACTTCTCCATTTATGGAAGGAAACATCCCCTGAAATGCACGTCCGACGTCCAACGTCCCACGATGTCCCAAGGGAGTCCAGCAGGCTATTAGCGGCCCCCCAGGAAGCAGACTGAACCATTGGTTTTGTACACGTCCAGAAAAGGCGTTGCATCATTGTATATCATTGGTTTTATTTTGTTTTTATCCCAACCACCAGGTTGCAGTTCGAAGTCAGCTCTCTATCAACCCATGGTGGTTTTACAGCAATCTTATCATTGTGTTTTGCTTTCCAAAGTAGTTATCCTTTGACAATTTAGCATAGCTATGGACGCCATGATCCATTTATGGATGATTTCCCTATATTATCCTATGATATCCTATGTTTGCCTATATATTAAGAATGGCGATTTTCCACAGCTACAATGCGAGATCCCCCAGGTATAAGTTGGTTCATAAACCTAATGAATCACTTTGTAGCTATTCCAAGCTTTAAGTAACCATATCATAGTCAAGGTATATCATATATCCACGTATATTTTATGTACATATATATATATATAATATTCCATTAAATACCGTATACTTATATAAGTTTAATAAGTTTAAACATCATAAATAACTGTAATTAAACCAAACCAACCATGGCCGCCTCAGCCCCACTGTCCCCCACCTGTTCCGCAGCACCGCCTCGTGCATGTGACGCACTCGGTCCTTCCGCTCTGCCACCAGCCATTCCAAGTGCTCCGCCAACGCGGGACCCGCCTGCAACGACAATGCTGGCCCTGGACACATGGAATGACAACACAGGAGCTTCGCATAGCCAATACGTTACGGGGAGTCAATGCCAATCATCATCATCATCATCATCATCATCATCATCATCATTGTCTTCATCTTTTTCATCATGTTCATATTCATCTTCATCAATAATAATTGTTTCCATTGCGTGTGTATATATATATATATCATCTGGTGTCACCGTTTTTGTTTTCACACATGCACATGCATCTATCTATATATATATTTATTTATTTGTTTATTTATACAAAAATACATACATATGTGGAGATCCATGAGTGCCATGTTCCTTCTTTAGTACTGCACATCCTTTCCTCTATCAGCGCGATAGAAAGACTTTTGTTTCACAGACCCCGCAGCAAACAAGTCACATGGGGGAAAATCATGGGACTCCATCTGCGTGTTGATGTTGCCAGCTTACCACACCCATATTATGCTCCATGGTGCTGGTATATTTACCTACACAACTGGCAGCTGGGTGATTTTGTTCGGGTAAATGACGGTAAATGTTGGTCAATATTCCAGCACCATGGAGCATTTGGGACAGCTAACTGGCCTCCGAGAGTGATCATCGAGATTTGAAGCTTTTCGCCCACGTATCCGATAGGCTCTATAAAATCCACAGATGACCTGGATAAGTTCATGTCAACCCCGGATTAATAAACCATGGTTTATTAATTAGGGGGGTACTCCTTCAATAGTCATAATATGATACTTAAATGGTACCTTCCCAATTAAACAATCTAAGGGTTCATTAATCCAGGGTTGACATTACACTTCTTCTCTAAGCTGAATTAAAGCCATCATCTTCCTATATCCAGGGAGCCAACTGGGCAAATCCCAGGCAACGTCCCTGTCCTCCGACATAGGCCACTTCAATGAAAAGGATCCCCTGGTGCCATGTCCGGCCATGTCAACCACATCCGGCAATCAGTGTGCAATGGGAAAAAATGGCTGAAAGTAGATGATCGTCTATACCTACTTTTTTTTTTCTAGCCATGTTAGATTTACACATGACTATGGCAGGTGTTGTTTTGCCCGGTCTCACATCGCCAAGTCGCCAATCCACGAAGTCACCAAAGGGAAGGCCGATGTCATCGGATAGGATGACCTCAGTCGGGAAATTTCGTTACCCTCCAGTTTTCTGTTAGAAATCCATCAAGTACCCTCTGGTAAACGTACAAAAAACGAACTGGTTCAATAGATATATTAAATTACCAGAGGGTAGTACATTTACTGACCTCTGCTGGGATATGGAAAATAACCATCAGTAAAAAACATGCAGTGTAGAAGGTGCCCTGAAACAAGCACTGTCAGTTTCTCAGGGATTTCTTCGAAAAGGGATGAGGTCAAGGGTCCCTTTTGATGCCTCCAATTGGTTACACAAATCACCAACAATTGAGGTTTCCTGAAATAGGGCCCCAAATCATCCATTTATATAATGGTACCTTCCATTATAAACCATCCATATGAGGGTACCACCATTTATGGAAACCCCCATACCTTGTACAGTATATTGGCGAAATTTATCCTAGACAGCCTCTTAGCAATCATTGTCGAAGATTTCACTCGTCATGACCACCAAATCGCAAATAAAATGCGACTCCGTGCCGCATCAAATGTTGAATCCCATTCCCCTAATATTCGATAATGAATATATCACTGGATTGGTTTAAGGGAAAATTTTAACCGGAAACCCTGGTTTTTACCATCAAATATAGGGTTTTCCTGTAAATTTTCCCATCATCCAATTCTATGAATATAGGGTTGATGGTTGAATCCCCCACTTTGTGGGCGCAATTTTCACACGGCATCATCAAGCCATCCACCGATGCAAAAGTCCGGTCACTGGAATGCAGCCCGCGAAAAGGATCTCGTAGAGCCTATTGCTCCAGTAGCCTGGGGCAGTATGATCCTTGGGGAAACATTGCTAGCCGCGAAATCACTGATTTTTAAATGGAGAGTTTTTAGTTTGTTAATTTAATGGGAACATACTGAACATACGTTCCATGGATTCTCCAATTTTTGATTGCCGGAGGCTACACGTCGACTCAATTAGCTCAAAGCATGGAAAAACTGACCGATTTTTGCAAACATTTTTATGTGGATCCGATGCAATGCTTCAAGAGTTTTGGCATCGGCGACGTGTGATGATGATGCAATTTCTATTGCTGCTCATGGTTTTTTTTTGGTGGTTGGTGGTTTGAACCCCTCTGAAAAATAGTAGTCACTTGGGATGATTATTCCCATATATTATGGAAAAGTAAAAAATGTGCCAAACCACCAACCAGTTTTTTGGTGGTGTTTGAAAAACTAATGTTTGATCTTACTCTTCCATGACAGTACAAGTCCAAGTACGAGCTTTTGAATACATATTTCCAAATTGCTGCCTCCGTTCAAACTAGAATTTATGCCGGATAAAACTCAAACAACCTATAGTTTACTCAGCAAACATCAATAAACCATAAATTATCCTGAAACATCCAGAAACCAATTCTAGGGAACCCACTTTTTGCGATAGAATCAGGTTAGTGAACAGCCTACTGATTGAACATCACCCAAACATGGGAAGATCTTCTCCGACAACCCCCCGGCGTGTGACATTCACCAGCTGGTTATGAGTTTCCCCTTGGAATCCCAACTATCATTGCTGGATGCGGAAAAAATACAATCAGGAAGGGACCAAGACGAACAAATATCAAATCCAATACTAAATACTATTAAACACAAGTTTCATGTGGCTGGGAAAGTCTGAGTAGCTACATGGCTCAAAAATTTAAAAGGGATCCTCCAACAACCACCGTTTAGTAACTGTTGGCTTATTGCCAGGACACCCACTCCCTTGGGAGCAAAGCAGAAATGGCAAAGACCAATGCGCTTGAAGTAATCCTGAAGCAGCTGGGAGATAAATATATACTTGGATTTGTGGCATATAACTGGATAACAAACTAAAAAAATAATTTGTAAAATACGATTTCTGGGATGAAATACAATGTATAATGAAAGATACATGATACATGATGACCGTAGTACTATGCTGATACTCTAATGGATTCTTGCAAGTAATCCATGCAATACTAAGCAATCGTGAAGTTGCCTAAAGGCAGGCTTCAAACTCCAGCAGATTGGGTGTCTGAATATCTCGAAGCTGAATGATCCTGGCCGTTTTCTGATTTGGATAGCCTACAGTCTACGACCACAGCCAGCATCAACACCACCAGCATCTTAGCATCCCAACATCTTAGCATCTTAACATCTTAGCATCTTAGCTTCTTAGCATCTAAGCACATCATTACATCATTACATCATTACATCATCATCATCGTCATCATCATCAGCATCACCGTTGTCATCATCATCATCATCATCATCATCAGCAGCACAGCAGCATCATCATAATCAGTTTCATTGCCATTGTCATCGCCATTGTATTGCATCATCAACATCATCATCATCATCGTCATCATCATCAGCATCACCGTTGTCATCATCATCATCATCATCATCATCATCATCATCATCATCATCATCATCATCAGCAGCAGCACAGCAGCATCATCATAATCAGTTTCATTGCCATTGTCATCGCCATTGTATTGCATCATCAACATCATCATCATTATCATCATCATCGTCATCATCATCGTCATCATCATCGTCATCATCATCATCATCGTCATCATCATCACCATCACCATCACCATCACCATCACCATCATCATCATCATCATCATCATCGTAGTCATATAAACATAATCATCAGTAGCAGTAGCAACAACAGCAGCAACCGCAGCAGCAGCAGTGACCACCCACCTTCAGCTTCATCGAAAATGCACTACAAGTACCTGATGCTATGCTTCAAGATGATCCTGTTTTGCAGGCTCCCCAACTGGAAAATGACCTACAGCAATGCGAAAAAACGTTTCTTTTGTGATTTCTGCTAGTTTTCCTACACAGCAAAAAAACACAGGTCACCGAACCCTGCAATTCTCTGGGCTTTAAAAAAAAAGCACAAATACACGCTGTGCATCCGCCAAGCATCTGTGATTCGCTTGAAGCGATAGCCAATGCTGAAGTTGGTTCGCTTGCTGAAGTTATGCAAATCATTACGAACCTGAACTAGGCAAGCGTAAAGGCAAAGGCATACATTTGCCTGCACAAAAACATGCACACAATCATAAATATACTCTACACATTACATATATATGAATATGTACTTGTTTTTATGCGTACAATGTACGTCTGCAACTGATCACATACGAAACTAATCATATGGATTCATATGGATAATAATAACATGTCAAGTTTCTTTTCAAAATTGTTAACAAAATCCTTCCTGTTGTAGGTGCACTGTAGGTAACCAGCTTGGTATGCGAAACCTCTGGCAATTGGACAACTATATCCAAAACTGGTTATACTTGGAGGAATTCCCATTTCAAAAGGGAAACCATTTGATAGTGTTTCCCTACTATGGGTGGCACATCAGCTAGTGAGAGGCCCTAGTTCGTAACCAATCAGCCAGGCAATTTTAATGGGTCATTTAATTTAACTATGAACACTAGCACGTATGACAAAGCATAGTGAACTTGGAGTCATGTTCACCAACTATATACTCGCTATCGCAAACGAGGGTCCCACATGGTCCCACTTTTTAGCCATTTGAGCTTCCTCCTCACTATGCTTGGATGCCAGGCCTCAACCCAGCTCCAATCCGTACTTGGCGCATACCAAGCGTGGGAAAATAAGATGTGAATTACATACTAGTTATCTAGTTTCAATAATTATCTGGGACTTCAGCAGTTGCATGATTATTATCATTGACTATCCATGTTAGGGACCAACATTCTGGAGAATCTCTTGGCATTCCTTTACCAGTGGAAGTGGTACAGGTTCAGGAGCCCATATGGCCCTGGCATTGGTTTAACATAAGCCTTCCACATACCGAATCTTGGACTCTGACATCACCAACACAAGCTGGTTGGTGGTTTCAACCCCTCTGAAAAATATGAAAGTCAATGGGTTTCGGTTTCGGATTATACCATATATTATGGAAAATAAAAAATGTTTGAAACCACCAACCAGCAAGAGGATCGCAAGAGGACAACCTGGTTTCAGGGGGATGCTGAAATGGATGGGCCTCTAAACCCTGGTGGAGGCAATCGCTTCGGATCTGTCATTACATCATCCAATCCTGGTCGATGTCTAACGATGTATACACCATATAAACATGTTAACCATAGATAAACCAGAAATTCACCATAGATAAACCATGGATAAACCACAAATTGCTGAGTCTGTGCTGTCTCAGAGACGGTGGCGTTCGCATACTGGTAGATGAGCAGCGCATCGGAATCTGCACCGAAATAGCAAGCCTCTGGGACCCAGGACATGGACAGGAACCCTTAGGCCCTAGGGTAAACATGGATAAACTGGGATAATGATGGATAATAGACTGTAGAGATGGAGAATATATAAATATAAAAATTAATGGATTTTAACAAACAACCAATGATAAAACATGGTACCCGAGGGTAAACGTTTACCAACAAACATGTGGGAAGTCATGGAGAAACGCCTACCAAGTAAAACCCCAGGCAGGCACCAAATTGAAAAATGTTGCACAAAGCTCTTTTTCTAGCTTCCTCTGCGTTAGGGTTTGATTTTTTGGTCCACCGGCCCCAAGTGCGCAGCCCAAAGGCAACATTGAAATTTGGGGATGCGGGGGCGACAACAATACAGCAGGGGTTTGATTTTATAGTCCGTCTACGGTAGTACAACGATCTATAATCTATAGATGATTGGTTTTCGACATCTATGTGCATGTTCACAGGAGGGTCATTAGTAAGCTGTTTGTGAAACCATCTCGCTTGAAATAAGACAGGTAAGGCTGTTGAGGGATAGCTACCCCTCCTAATCATCATTCCAGAACCACGTTAATACCAAGTAACAAGTGGGATAGACTCAGTAGCTGGTATGTGGGATATTATTCAGGCACGAACTGGCACATTCTGAAAGCGTTTGGTGCATGAATAAAACACCAGCCACCCCCACAAAGTTGTGGGTAAGCAAGGGTATGCCAAATGAACCATTCTTGCTTGAAACTTGCATTTGAAGTCATATGTTGAGCTCGATTCCTAGTTCAGCGAGGTCATCATATGTCGCCATCCCATTGTGTTTCAATGGATTGGGTCAAGGGGAAATCTATAGGAAACCCAGATTTGACCATGCAAATATAGGGGTTCCTTTCTGGTTTCCTGTATATAAATGTTCTCTTGAATATCTTGAATCAAATCATATCAAATCTCAGAGATTTCTAGGTTGAAACATGAAATTGTGATTAACATGTTTCAACCACCACAATGGGACATGTCTGACCACCATTTTCAAGGCGCGGTGTAGTTCCTTTCACTGTGAGGCTTCTCCAGGTACTTCATCTTTTCGATGCTCCATTGCTCCTTGGACATCGCCGGGAATCGTTGGGGGACATCCAAATGGTTCAACCAAAAATGAATAAACATGATCGAATCAAACATGAGGAAGTGAAAGCATGGCAAAACACCCAGTACCCTCCGTGCATCTCCGTGTCATATACCCAACGTATATCTGTGTTATATTAACTCAACCATCTGATACACACAGAAAGGAGCAGGTCTGGCGATTGACCGGTGGCTCTGCGCTAGTTGTATAGAAAATAAACATATGGAGAAGGCTACGTTTAGTGCCCTTGGGGTTTCCTAAGCAATTCCTTTTGGTGAGCACCTAGCTGCTATCCTTGTAGCCGCCTGCTGTTCTCAGCGAAGCTTCCACAAAGCCGGGAATCACCAAATCCTTCCAGCCATTGAAGCACCAGCGGCAGTGATGGCACTTTGCACCGAACTCCTCTGCCGTTTCCTCTGTGTAGTTCCAGAAGGCGTCAAAGTCGCTGCCTTGCTGCGACTTCGAAGCCATGGGCAAGGTACATGGTATGAATGTGGTATGGTCATCCCAAGCATTTTTTGGGGTATAGACAGCCCTATACCAAAGGATTTGATGACCACCCCACCGATATAGGAGGTAACTAGCATTAGAGAATCATGGGAAGAGTCTCTCAAGGTCTCTCAAGGTCGCTGTTTCCTGAATCCCGGGGTTCCAGCTGTATCCAACTTGGCTTTGATGTGGGAACTGACATCAACGGTCACACCCATCATGTGAAACTTGATATCTAAGTACAGCAATTTGGGCGAAACTCCGCTGGGGAAAACGGCCATTGGGCCATGAAGTGGCACATTGCTGATATTTGCTGATTGACCAGTGCCGGGTTCTTTTCGTCTTTCAGGGCTATGACGGATGAATATCAGGACTGCATCTTAATCAACGACTGAATCATTGCCAATGATAGATAGCCAGCAAAATGCAACATAATGCAACACATTTTGTTTAGCTTGTCCGTATTTCTCCCAAATGCCATTTAAATGGTGAAAAAATCTTCAGTGCCAACTACCTATTCCCCGCACCAGCTGTCCACCAGGCAGCAATGAATAGGCACAGATTCCACAGATAGGAACAAAGAATCAGCAATGTAATCTGACCATGAAGGAAAACTATAGGTCCTCAGGCTTCAACGACGCACCAGGTTACAGGTCTATCAGGTCCATCGCTAATCTGACCGGCAAGAGTCACTTTGACATAGAATTCTTTGATACGAAAAGATTTTCCTGCCAGCCAACTTGGACAACCAACTTGTCTGTATCAATGAAGGGGGAAATCCCCCTTCAATTGCTACCTGGCAAAAACAATAAACAACCCCTGATGAGCGGGTTGATCCCTATGATGATCCATTTTGCACCCCCGCGAACAACCAGGGGGGATCCCAAGGATCCCACTTTCCTGCGAACAAAGATCTCTGACGACCACAGAAAAATATGGTCGCGGCCTCCTTGATCATCAAAGTATGGCAGTTTCTCGGTTACCAACCTGCAGCGAAGCGAGAGTCTGCAGGGTCAAACACTGGGGAGAACTGGTGAAAATGCTACACTGGGTGCCGTGAGTGATGAACACACGTGGCTAACTAGATGTATTGATGTTACCCGGGTCCTACCCATATGCCATATACAATATCTGATGTCATTTGACGCTCATCATTGTTTGAAGGGGTGCAGATCAAGTGTTTCATGGGTACAGCCAGCTGGTGCCAGAGACCACTGGGATCTTCTGAGGAACCATGACAAGGAAACGCTTGAACCTAGCTGGCTTCAAGTTTGACATGACCAAAGTTCCCAAAGCCCATCATTGCAGGGCTCGTTCACTGCCAAAATCAATAAGTGCTATGTTCAAAGCATGGTATAGGTCCCCAGTGGTATGGTCACCCATCCCACAATGGGACCCATTGGAATATATATCCCGACGTTAATGGATCGATGACCATCACCGCACTATGGGTATATATATATATATCATTTAATATGTCATTTATACTCCAAGGTTTTGACCATGGAACACATGAGTTTCCAAGTAATCCTTGTACATACTTCTGAACCCTGACATCTTGCAGGGCCATTCTCGTGTGCTCAACCCCTCCCCATCCAGGCAAGGCAACTTCGTGTACCAGGCGTCCATTTCCTCAGCGTTGGGCGTTGGCATCTCTGTGGAAACCATGGCCCACTGATGGACTTAGCCATAGACTCTACCCTTTGCCCGCGACCTTCACATGGGGATTGTTTGAATCCCAGCCATTGCTGGTAAAACAAGGAATGGTTCTTCGCCAAGGGTTTATGTACCTTGGAAATTGTTGATACCAAATCTTAGTACCAGATGTACCCAGGAATAATCAGCATCAAAAGATCTGCATTTTCGTCTGGCTTGAGGAGTTTTAACGACAGGTCCTTGAGGTTGAGCCAACCAAAAATCAACTTGGAATGTCTCTTCCATGTGCTCTGCAGGATCGGAAACCAATTCAGATGGATTTACCGCATTGCCAATTGCCAATCAGAAAATTTGCAAGATCATCTAATATCCCTCAGGTCTCCCAGGGGCCATCGACCTAGGTTGAAGCATGGCTCCGGGGCATACTTATTTTTCTTAGACATCACGCAGGACGCATAGATCGGCACGTAGAAGAAGTCTGCCTCCGCGGGGTTCTCTGTGCGACAGGAGCTGTGCAGCATAAATTGGTGCACAAAGACCTTGGGGCAAGCGGTGGCGGGGATGGTTTGCTTAGGAACGGGGGAATTGAAGGCTGGTATAATCTAATTTTGGGCTTATGCGGGTTTATAGGGGCTTACATTGGACCCTGTAAGTGGTGCCATTATGCATCTTAGAACATACTATGCGATAACTATACATAATTATATATATATAACCAACTATCTATCTATCTATCTATATATATATAACTAGCACATGTGGATATGCATATGTTCCAAGCCAGCAAGTAAGCATGTCTGTAAATGCATGAACCCAAAAAAAGCAAGATGCGCAATGTGAACCCAGAATTCATGTAAAACCTCTGGTTGATAATCTGCCCAGTCCATGTGGCGCCAAAAACGAATCGAGCTGCCGAGAGTCCTCATCAGCAAACATCCCCTGGCTGCAAATCACTGGCGTAGCGGAGAACTCCGTCTCATAGACGTAGATCTTCCTGGTGATGCTGATGCTGCTGGAGTGAATATCTCTGTGAACGATATGAAAGTCAACCGGGATATAGTGGGATCACCACCACCACCACCACCGCCGCCACCACCACCACCACCACCATCACCACCATCATCATCATCATCGCCATCATCACCAGCATCATGATGGTCATCCGTAATTTCATCGTCTCGGGTAGGGATGCGTTAAATGACACAACCAATCAGTCACAAGTGCAGTCACAGGAGGGTTTGGATGCTAAATGGTCCCAAACCACGAGTCACCCCTGACAAAAGTATTTGTCATTTGAGGTGCTCTGGGCAAATCATACATGTTTTTTCCGGTAAAACTGTGCAATGGTAGTTGTTAAACATTGGATTACTTTTCCAGATGTTGTACTAGTGACAATTGGACCTATGTCCAACATCTTCCCCTAGTTGTCAAAATTGAATCAGCAAACGGCTGACAAAGTCCTGCCTACAGGCTCCGAACGACTGGCAGCTAGTCTGTCCCTTGTCAGGGTTTGTGCCAGCAACCGCCCAACTACACTGCAAGTTGCAGTTGCCCCAATATCCCCAATTTAATCAATGTTTACTTCATTCTTTCACCCCAACCCTAAAAAAAGAAAAAAAACACGTTGGCAATCTTTGGCACGCTTGGCTTCAACAAAATCCCAGATCGAGACCAAAATACGTCCAGGCGGCAAATCAAAGCCGAAACAGCTGGATTTCTGCAAACCCATGATCAAAGGGTAACCAGCCTCGAGCAGCATGAAAGCAGTCCCAGCTGGGCAACACTCACGCAAGAATTGGGGTTTGGTGGCTTTGGCTTACACCAATCCAAAAAAAATCGAACCTCTCTCTCCCTTATAATCTAATTGATATACAAGGAAATGACTTTAGATAGAAAAAACAAATTATCATCTGCCAAAGTTGATTGAAACTATTTAAAAATATTCAATGAAAAGGGTGCACATTCCTTTGCCAGGTCCGTTCCTGGCATTTGTTTCATGCCAAAGAACTGATTGGTGGGTATGCAAGTTCCATGTGAAGCCAGAGGAGTTTCGAAGATGACCTGAGGCGTTGAGCGAAGCCACTTACAAAGTCACGGGAATACAAGGTGGTGCCCCAGATCGCTAAGTTGGTTTCTGACTGGGTTAACTGGGATTTATGGATATTCATGGTAGACATATCCATAGTTAGATAGGTGTTTAAAGCAACTTATGACCGCCCACCCATAGGTGACAATTTGAAGCCCCCAAAGAGATAGAAAAAGGAACCCCCCAGCTATTTAAGCATTTCTGTTTGGGAGTTAATCACTTATATTACCACATGGTTTACCAGATATATTGATATTGGGAGTTTACCATGTCATCACTTCTATCTCGTTTGGAAAGCACCAATGATCACTTCCCAGCGGCCAAATTTGCCCAAAAGCTCTCGATACAGCAGGTAATACTGTCTGGCCTTCCTGCGACCAAGGCTGAAATTCTGAGAGAGCCCAAGCATTCTTTGGATTGCTGAGTTTTCTTGGGAAAATTCTGCGGAAAACCACAAAAACTTGTAAAAAAAACATGGTTTTGTTTAAAGATGTTGTCCGCAACCTTAACGTTCGCACAGACTCATCATTGTGACATAACAGAGACAATTCTGTTGCTGGGAAGTTGCGAATCGTAGCAAGTCCAAGGGGGAAATTAGGCCATGGTGGCATGTGAAAGATACCTTGAATACAGTTATATTTCATGAGGAAACAATATCACCTGATCATCATGAGGGAACAAAATCCGCCACCCCCTATGACCAATATGCTGAACGGGCTAACAACACGCCACCCTCTATGGCCAATATATTGAATCGGGTAATTACATCAAGATTATCTTGATGAGGGAATAAAATCCGCCACCCCCCATGACCCACATGCTGAACGGGCTAACAACACCAATTTTATCTTCATGAGAAATCAAAATTAAATTAGCCACCCCCTCTGAACAATACGTTGATTGCGGGGTCAATTCCGGGCAAACGTCCAGGTTGCAGCGAAGATGTTTAAAGTGTCCATTCAATCAATCCATTGGTTGAGGGGAACAATGCAGGAAATACACAGCGCTACCTATTTGTTCTCAGCCCACCAATGGTTGACCCAACCACCAAACTACTGCAGTGGTTGGTCATTGTTTGGGCCATCCGAAAATATGGTGGCTACTTCCAATTCGTTTTTTTCTAGACATAGGCAAGCATGAGTTCAGAACATCTCGGAAACAGCACTTGGCCCATGGTAGTAGGAAAGATACGGGGAACTCTTGGTACGAGTATCTGGGCATGCCTGGCATGCCTCTCAAATCAACTAATCAGAATGTTCCCTACATCATATATATATATATATATGTATATGTATATATATAATTATACATATATATTCATATATATTGGATTCCATCTGTAACTGGGGCTTTTGCGATTAGCAAGTGGGGCTTGAATTGTTGCCTGCTCTCCCTGATAGCCATTGTTGGCTCCTCCCTTTCCCTTGCCTTTCTTTGCTCCGCAATGGGGCGCTGGCGGATCTGTTCGTCTTCTGATGAAGATGAACCAGAGGCTGGGTTGGTGGGTTATGGAATGGCCATGACATAGCATGGGGATGATAATCTGAAGAAACTCATTGGGAGGAAAAATTGATCTCCTTGACGGTGGAGCAGTTCGAGTATATCTACTGTGGGGACAAAATCCGTGAAGCAGCTGGTCACTTGTCATTTAACTGTGCCCAACCCTGGTCTTATTCGAAAATCAAACCGTGGATTTTTAGCCAAGGTTTGGGTTCATTCTTCAAAAATTGGACGTGGCCATTCACCTATGTTTCTGACTGTTACTTGGTGGCATATGTTGTGTCAATAAAAAGTGGCAATCCAACACCTAATTTTTGGGATGACTTCAGGTTCTGGGATGGACACTCCTTTGACAGCTTTGTCACTCCTGTTCCCAGAGACCAAGCGGACATTGGTGAAGTACATGCCCCTTAGCTTCAACAAATCAATTTACATCTAATTTTTGAATCCCACACCAGCCCAGCAGAGCCGCAGAGGTCGAACAGCGAGCGGAGTCCAATCGTCAGGAAGTATCTGGAGATGAACCATCCAACACCTTTGTATGGGCAACTTGTTTGCAGCATGCATCACTTTGTAAAGAGAAATGGTCGCAATATGTCGCAATATAAAATAACATAATTTATAATATATAGTATACATGAAACGGCAATTTATCGTGCAGTATGTTTCATGGCTAAGATCATATCACAGTATCTACGTTTCATGGCTAAGATCATATGACAGTATCTTCGCGACCGACTTCCATGGACTCCATCGCAAGGCACGCACTGGCAGTCAAACACCCACACATGGCACATCATTCAGTTCCTGCTGAATGCAGCCTGGACTTGTGATTCGCAGGTTTTCTTGTATAGTGCGGGCTTTCCCTGCACACCCTTCTCAATGCTGCATTGGGGATCCCGTCTCTTAGAAGAAGATGCAGCACGACCAATGTATCGTGTCTTGGATAACGTGAAGGTTTGCCAGCCTGCAGCTACTTAGCAAAAAATTAGATTAAAACAAACATGTCACAAACGGTAGAACCAGGTTTCCCCCATGAACCCACACTTTAACTTTTCCAGTTGTTAGGTTGCAGTCCTGGAGAACGTGAAAGGATTCTTGCGTGTTCAAGAGGAGTTCCAAAAGCTTTTGCATGACCAGTTACCTGAGTAACTTGGATGGTATTGGAAGTAGAATCTTCCCCCACCAATGAATATTATCATATTATGATTTCCTGAGCGGCACCCTTTCCATCCAATTTATTGTGAATCAAGGTATCAAACCGCCTTTCTTCACTTGAATGCGTAGCTTGGTAGCAGAGGTTATCGAATGATATATTCAATCCAAAACCTAGCAGTGAAAGTACTGATTCCTCAACCATCCTAAGGAAAGACTTTGGACACCCAGTGAAGCGCGATCGTGTGTACATTATCCTTGTGAGGGAGGAGCTCATGGGGCATTCTGCAAAGTCAGGTTTTGCTAGTTTCTGCAATGAGCTCTGCGGCTTGTTGACACATGATCCTGACGTGACTTGGTGCCTTTGTCTGAAATTGGAGACAATGACACATCGTTTTGAACAAACAATATTCACATATTGTACTCATCATTCATAATATACCTATTCACAACCAGTTGAGCACATGTCAAGCTCAAAGTATTACCCATGGTGTCATGGGAAGTTTGGTGTATCCTTTCCACTGGCACTCATAAGGAATGACCTGCTGTTGGAGAAAACCCACCCATTGGTGAAGGATGTCATGGCCCAGCGATCTCGAAGGAGAAAGCGGGTTTTTTTTGTCAAGCCTCTTGGTGAAAGAACGAACCACTCTGTCATGTGACGAGACAATAGGGAATTGCTGTGACGAGACATGTTTGAAATTGTTGTGACCATGGACTCAATTAAGGCGGCCACGTGGTTATGGCAACAAATGGAAGAAGGACCACAAGATTTGGGCAAAAAAAAACGGCGTAAAGGCCTATCATGTGAAATTCCAAACATAATTATCATAATGCTCAAGAAGATGCCATCCTGTCAGGTGAAATCTGCAAAAGGCCGCTTTGCAAAGAAATTCCCACGTGGAGTTGATCAGGTTACCACTCACAGAGAGTTGGAGGCCCTCAATGATTTTGATGAACAACAGTTTTACCTTGGACTATTTGAGCTGATAATATCTATAATCAGTAGGTGTTTCCAAGTCCCTTGTGAGGCGTTGGACCTGCTGCTGGCCAAGCACTGCAACATGACGGCTATCAACACCAGCCAAGCGATCCACAGGATGGGCATGGTGAAGGGAGATCATCACTTGCCCTGCTTGACGCCTTACACTTAGTCACTAAGTCATTTTCCCATGCATTGTTTGGAAGCACTCACTACTTTCCCGACATGAAATTGATTGTCTTTTAAGGCCCCATGGATCATACTTCCTTGGGACCCAGAGTCGCTTTTTGACTGGTAGCTTAGCTGCAAAATACTCTGTATTGACTGGTAGCTTACTTCTTGAAACCCATCCTGTAGATCCATTCAGCGCTGCTCAGACCAACTCAGCCAGGCATTGAGGCTTTGATCCTGCACGGGATGCCAGTGGATGCTATTCACACCAGCTGCTTCAAAGATAGAGAGCCTTGAAAGCACATAAATTCAAAACCATAACCAGTCAGCTTAAGTCCGATACTATTTATCAAATGTTCATCATGTTTTCTATCCAAGGAGTTATTTGAGATGGCAGGAAATGGCATGGCCATGCGCTGTGTGATGGTTGCTGTAGCGGTGGCACTGAGAAGTGTGAGCCCAAAGTTGGTGAAGGCTTACCTCAAAGACTAGTGTTAACTCCCATGATCTCTATGGGAACGTTTCCAGGCATGTCGAGGAACCGCTGTAGCTTGAAGCTTTGACAATGGAAAACACGGTGTATGTATCTTGCATGCACATGTCCTTGTTCAAGCACTTCATGGTGTCTAAAACTTGAAAGAATGAATGATGACCCTACCCCTGCACCAATCCATTGATTTTTGTTGCTGAAAATTCAAACCAGTTTAGTTTCCTGGAACCCGCGGGGCGCAATGCCGGTCCTGAACCGGTATGATGCTGCTGAAGATGAACTCCGACCTGCATCGGCAGCTGCGTGGCGCTATGATGCTTCATCTGATTCTTGCGAGGATGACCCATCAGAGACCCCTGGCTGAACAAAGTCTCTAACTCAAGTCAACAGCTAAGCCAGTGCATTTTGCTGTTCACTAAAACCATTGAGATTTTAGAACCTTAGGACTAAAGAATCTGATTCGGACACTGGCTCAGATGATGAACCGAATGTACCCGCAACTCGGCGGGTGGATCTCAGACTAGCTACCTTGCATTCTTTGCACGCTTTGAATGAAAGCTCTGATCAGTCAACATTTGCTGCTCATGGGGCAGACCGTGACAGAATCTCAGCTCTCTCAAGAAGCCCGCCTTGCGAGTGCGGCTGCCGGGTGCCATTGAAGATCCTGCAGAAGACCTGCGAGAGCTTCTGGGGCTTACCAAAGGCGAGTCAGGATAGTTTGCTGTGGTCGTTACAGGCAGAAGAGGGATCTTCTAGAAGAACTTGGAGTATCGAAGGACCTATCCGATGGCATCCAATTCATTTTTTATATTTTATTTCTCTTATGGCTCAATAGTGTTACCTCTGAAACATCCCGCATTTGTGCCAGAGGATACCCAGTATGCCGGCTGGCATGGCTTCGATATCTTGGTGTTGGGAAGCAACGGCTTGAGCGATGCAAACGAGTTTTCCATGGAATAGATGATCGGACTATTAACCAAGGATTTGTGGCAGCAGTTGAGTTAGAAAATAAAAGGAGATCCTAAATTGAGTGACTGTTTTATAACCCATCTAGATTTTTTAAAACCAATCAGTGATCGATGTCTATGTGCTTGCAAATCTAGGTGAAACAATGCGAGCTGCAACGCAGACTGCATCAGCCAATGCTTTCTTTGGGCATCTGTACTACACTGCTGCAGAATCAATGCCTACAAAGTAACTGGCCTGAATTTTATCCCATGTCTTCTTGAAAGCCTAACAAGTCAATTTTTTATGATCGCCAGCCCCCTGGCATTAGGTTTGTGTCTTCTTCCACGGCTCCCAGTCCAGAAGGGGAGGACATCGCAGAGGACTTGTTGAAAAAGTTGATTCACAGAAAACTTTTGGGACCAACACTACAAGTCCAAGATATGAATCCCTCAGGGTTGCCACTTCGGGAATTGCCACCTGGAAACACAGCCTCGCTGTTCTTGATGTATTTGGCCTGGTGCAGAGTGTCGTGCAATGACCCCTGCAGCAAAAGTACTTTCTACACGGCTGCAAAGTCTTGGTATGCGTGTTTGAGATTTCGACGACGGTCAGAACATGCTATGTGTGCTACATGCCAACGGCTGAAAGCCGCAATTCACCAAGCTTCGGAATCCATCTTAGTTGTCCGGGGGAATCCTAAAACTTTTGATGTTGGTTCTCAAGTTCGTTGCATGCACATATTAGAGATTAAGCACTGGCTGGGTTATAAAACAACGATGATGGACAATGCATTGTAATTATAATTATAAAGGATTGTCAAACCTCAGGTAAGATCATTGTTTATATAATGCTCTCTTTTATTTATGTCGAATGGGTTGTTTAGGTCCATCCTTTGGCCCAGGATTTCAAAGTGCACGCATCTCTTTGCAGCCAACTACTTGAACACTACAGGTCCCAATACGCAGACCGCCTTGTTTACTGGGCAGCACGGGAGCGGAGTGCAAATGAGGGTGACATGCTAACTGTGATTTGCGATTCGTTTGATCGGTCAAAACTTCAGCTGCCAATGTGGCCTCTGAATCGCACCCCAAAGAGGACTGTGTACGAGACCCTTCAACGATCCTTGTTGGCCCTATGTTTTTAACCCTTGAAAAAATCATTTCTATCCTGATCATCCAGTATCGCCCCTTGATATCTGAGGAGCGAGCCTGGTCTTGACAGGTGTTCTATGCCATGGGCATGGCCTTTTCCTCTTCCTGACCTCCCGAGAGGGAATGAGTGCTGGCAGCAACTGGAATTGGGAGTGCGATTCTTGTCTTCAAATCAAATCGTCATGGAAGGGAATTTGTACTAAGCAATGTGAAATCTCAAATTTTGTAAGAGACTCCAGGGTTTGATCTTCAAGTTGATATCTAAGTCTTGTCACCCATTAAAAATTGAGGTGATGCGAGCGCTTGATGGTGTCTTTGCTAGAACAAGAGCCCGGAATGGCAAGTTTCCTGATGAGTTCCTTGGCCCCGAACAAAAAAGGAAGTGATTACTGCTGACCCTTGTGTTTCCATGATCCTTTCCACAAAATCCCACTTTGTTTTAAGGTTATGGCTCCAATCCGACAACACCGTTAAGGAGATCAGAAACCAGCATGGCAGCAAGATGATGGCATCTATGACCCAGGCCGGCCTGTGGGGGGTGGCTTCTTGCCACCACCTGCAGGTCGGCCACACACATGAGGACATCGATGCTATATTCTCTTTAGTTGCCGTGGCTTTGAGGACATGCCAAAGCCAATGTTTGCAAACACCGATGGATGTTGCAAAACGCATTGAATCCAAACTCAGCAACCTGTGGACCAAGAAGAACCTCATTTTCTCCATTGAGTTGGTGGATACCGTTCCTAAGCTAAACAATATACTTTACAATAATTAATAATAGCTAAAGATAGATTCAAACAACTCTTTTTGGGATGGCCTTGCTTCTTACACATATTCCTTCCTTGCGGGTCCAACCATCTATCCAAGGTACGTGACTGGGTGTCTATCCTACCTGCTGGCGTGTCTCTGAAGAATGCATTCAGGGCGAGAAAATGGGTTGGAAATGAGGATCAAGCTCCACTTCCCCAATCATTCACATTCATGGCCCGGGCAGGCCAGGTAGTTTGTTGGATTCATTTTGTGTGGTTTCAATATGAAACAAACTGTCACTGTTTTATCTATAAGTCTTATCTTGTTTTGCTGGGAGGTCTTCCTGATCAAGGCAATAGCTTGGAGTTGAGTGATCGGGTTCCGAGGGCCTTACGGGCTGACAATGCGATGGATGATGTTTTCTGTATGGTGAAGGCCAAAATGGCTGATGATGGGTTGAGTCAATCTCCTTTGCTTGTTCTCCCCGGTGCCTTTTTGGAGCAAAGCAAGAGGTTCCTTAAACGGGCCAATGAAGCAAGTTGCCCAGTTCAAACCTGCCACTTGGAACCAGACAGGCGGGAGGAACTTCGACTCCTGAAAGGAGCAATTTCAAAGGATTTTCCTTTTCTTACCAGAACGCAGCAGTTCTATGAGTCTATGATTGCTGCTGCGCCCTGCACCGGCACGGTGCCAAAGCTTTCTTTCTTGAACCGTGCGAACACGGATGGTCGCCGGGATTGGGGGGCAGTGGGGCTAGGCCAAAGGCCAAAGACCTCAAAGCCACATGAACTCCAGGTGGTTTTCCACCGGGCTAGGGTTTGATGTTTCATCTTCGGGGACTTGATCTTCTAGGGGTGCTAAGAGGAAAAATGATGATGTCAGCATAACACCACAAGTCATTTTCCAAGAGTTGCCAAGGCTGCAATCTAGTGTGATTGGATGTTGAAACTTGAAAAATGCATCATTATCAGAACTTGTTGGCTCAGAAAGATGGCTGTGGCCATGGAGTCAGAGCCGGAGCACTTTGCTTCGAGTGGTCCCATTGAAAAAATTCGAGCTTACTTTGATTCGGTTACTCAATCTGAATAAGATAAGGTCAACACAAGTCATTGCGAGCTGATACCATTAGGAAATAACTGGGGTGTGTTTGTTCTGGTGTGCTACCAATCTAAGGTTGCCGCTGAGAAAAATGTGGGGCAGCACGTGGAAGAGGCTTTCCAGGACAAAGACAAGATGAAAGCAGTTTGACCCTCAAATTTCAAAATTATCTAAAGGCATTGTTTACTCAGTTTGACCCAGCCCCAAAACATGTTTTTGAGAAAGTGACTCAGTTTTACCCAGGCTATCGATGACCTGGTTGCAACAAACCCGGATTCAAAGATGAACAAGCCATTTCTCCGTTTGACTCCAAACGAATCACTCGACGAATTCTGGCTTCCTCTATCAGCCTTCAATTTTGGCGCAACATCAAAGAATGGATGTGGGGGTGTTGAAATGGTTTGTTCAACAATGTTCAAACAATTTCAAAACTTGTTTTGTAATTCCATTTATTTTGAAGTTAGCATATGTTAGCATGTTCTGGCCAATTTTTCGTTGATCCCTGCAGACTTCCCTTCAAATTGCCAGCTCTCGGTGCACATGGGGGAATTTCTCCGCTACGGCTACAAGTCGAACATCGGGAACATGGAGGTGAAGTTTCCTTTGAGGGACAGCAGTCGTCAGATCCTACCGTTTAGCGTTGGCCTGACGGATGGGCTCTGCAAGCTGATTTTGATGGTATCAATAGTTGCTTTCTGCAAAGAGTTGGAGTTTGGGAACGAGGAGCTTCAGGATCCGCAGTTGAGAATGGTGCTAGCTAGCTTTTCCCAGATCAGATGTTCCTATTCTCACTATGAAAACCCAGCCCACTTCTGCCTCCACTCACTCAGCTTCTTTTCGGTGATAGATTTCTTATTTTGATTTTTTTTGACAACAACTTTTTTCCGTATGATTTATGTTGTTTATCTATGCTTCTTTTTGCTCACACACTTCCTCTGCTGTCACTAAGAAACTGGCTTCGTTTCAGCAGAAAAACAAGGGCCGTCCCCAGTGGACTTGGTGGCTGAATTGCAACAAGCTGTGAATCTTCAAATGCGGCAATTAGCCAAGAAGATCCCTCTACGTGACATGTTGACCCGCGTGATAGCCGACTACAATAAGATGGTCACTGTGAAGAAACACCGGCTGGATTCTCCAAAGAAATCCCTGGTATTGAACCTGATTCTGTTCTCAGTTTAGCCATAATCTTTGTTCTGATGCTAAAAATAATATGTGACAATATGTGGTTTATAGATAGTAGGATTGAGTTTATGGGCAGGGTTTATAGGGTCCAGTGATAAATTTCCACTTGGGTTGGTTCACCAAAAAAGCCCCCCACAATTCCCCAAAAAACAGTGGTTTCCCTTTATTTTATGAAAGATTTTGGAACTTGTGGGGGGCTTTTTTGGGGGACCAACCAAAATGGAAAATTAACACTTTTTAGAACTTAGGATGCGTTGCCCTGATGATCTGATCCGGCTTCTGCACAGCCACTACGACCACTACAAAGCCGAAAATTCAGGACCCCAGATCTTGTGTAGTGTGGCGTGGGAGACACACACACCCAAAAAAAAACATTTCTGTTTTTTGCGATTTCAATGTGTCTTGTGTTTGACACTGCTCCATCCACTCCCAACCAGCTTGCCTGCAGGGGTGCCTCACGAAATGCTCCAGATGGAATTCTTTGTCCCTGGCTCGACCACCAGAAGGGATCACGAGAGGTACCGTGGCAAAGTGATTTTTGCAGAGATCTTGACTGTCACAAACCAGGCTACCATGACGTACTTCTTGCGGTTGGTTCAGGACATCCCACTTGAGTTTAGATGGGTTCCAGTTGAAACCATGATTATTTATGGTAAAAAGTTTTTGATTTCAGATTCCTACATGATGTCTAAACAGGTATGTCTCAAAATGAGGTTTCCTTTTTGGCCCCCCAAACTGTTGCTTTGAAGAAAGAAAAGGACACCTCATTTTGAAACATCCCGAAATATTGTGACACCCTGCATCAGGACTTCACGAGGAAAGCATCGAGGGAGGCCACTACAAAAGCAAAGGACTGGACATTCAAAAATCATCATTACTGGACCTGTGTTCAAACTCATTGTTATGTTCAAACGAGATCCAACATATATGGGTTGGAGGGTTGATGATTTTGAGACCCTGATCAGAAAATGCATCAGTTGAATGAAGATGCTCAGCTGTTGTTATTCGACAGCTGTTGCTTGTGGCTGTGGATTCGGGAGAAAATGGCATCTGCATTTCCTGGTACCGTGCTTGAGCAGCATGACAAGCTCTTTGAGCAGGGGCTTCCTGGTTTGAATGCCAGTAACTGTTTTTTTGTTTTTTTTGGGGGGTCATGTCAAACAAAACATGATAGGTCGACAAATATCTTTGGCTATACTCCCCAGAACGTGATTGGTCGCCAAATATCTTTGGCTATACCCCCCAAAACGTGATTGGTCGCCAAATATCTTTGGCTATACCCCCCAAAACGTGATTGGTCGCCAAATATCCTTGGCTGGGCATCTAAAAATGTGATGTGGTTTCCAGAAACCCCGTCACAATTTCAATAGGGCAGCCAAGAATCCTTGGCTACGAAGATCAATCATATTCTGGAGGGAAATTTCAACTTGAAAGTTTGATGTGGTTTCTGGAAACCCCGTCGCATTTTCATGGACTTCGGAGGGGGGAATCATAGATTGGAGATTAAATTCATTTCTTTTCCATGATTGGATCCTTCAAATCCCTAGATTTTATGATGGGGTTTCCAGAAACCCCGTCACATTCTAACCTCGAATTTTCAGTGTTGAAAGGTGATTGGTTCTGATTGGGTTTAATGATAACCCCTTTTTCTGTGCCCCGTGCATCTCCCTCAGACACCTCGACTCCGATCTTGGCACCATCATGAAATCTGCAGAAGAATTTGACTGGAACCGAGTAAGTTTCGTCTTGGAGGCTGGTGCAATCAAAACTTATGTTCAAAACTTATGTTCAAAATTTATGTTTAAAACTTATGTTCAAAACTTATGTTTATATAAAATTTATGTTCAAAACATATATTCGAAACAAAACTTGTGTTCAAAACTCTTGTTCAAAACTTAACTTATGTTCAAAACTTATATTCAAAGCGGCTTCTGTTAACTTTGATAAGTGGTGGATAAAACCT